GGTTAAGGACACAAAATGAGGGCTGTTTAAGTTGCATTGCTATGCTGTGTGGACATAATCCCCTCACAAAACGGGGCAATCTAAGCCTACATGGCTCTTTGGAGATGCCTGAGAGACTGCGGTCAGCATGGTTCAGCATGACTGGACTGAGCATAAGCCCTCTGGTTTACGTAGCATCCTGTGCCAAAGACAGAGACGCATTATTCTATTTGCAATTTATTAACCTGAGGTTTGAATGCATCCATCAATAACACAAGTGACAAATTCCACTAAAGATTGATTTCAGGATTATCTTACATAGCTGGTAAGAACCTTCAAAGACAACATTAATATAGGATTTCTTCATCTCTATAATTGATTTGCAATCTAAAAAAAAAGGCTGTTGCCTAATAGATAGGAAAACTTCAACACCCATAATGCAGTGGGGATGTTGCCATCCAAGGCCACACTCACCAACTATCAACTTTCAATACAAAGCAGGTTGAAAATCATCTAAATTACACTTTAAGACCTTAGGATTGGTAAATTTTACTCAAAAATATGACAAATGTCAGTGTAGGAATTAAAAACATGTCCAACATAGGAATATACTAAAAAAAATGGCAACAAATGTTATTATTGTTGAATGCTAACTAAAATGTGTACCATACGTTCACTTAGCCTCATCCCCTCCCTGTTGGATTGGTCTTGTGAGGGGTGTTGACCACACACACACATGCAAGAGAGGATTAGAGGGTCGGTCTGTATAAATGGTGATGACATACATGGTTAAACAGCTTCTTTGCCTCCAAACACAAATCTCAGCCTTGCTTCCATGCTAAAACAAATCGCAAACTTGGCATTCCTTTACCCTATTCCGCTCTTGAACTAATGTTTACACACCTAATTACAGATCAGAGGTTAAAATGCAGGCAAGGTTAACGGTTGTAAAGCAGGAAACTCTGGCATGCCACACAGTTTGCTTGTTTGTAGTCAGTGGGAGTTGCACTGGACAAGCCAGCAGCACAGCAGAAAGAGGTGAGAGTCAGAGCGGCTTGTCTCCTATAATAACTCACATCACTATGGGACGCACTGTGCAGTGAAAACAGTTGTGAGCTGAGGACCCCTGCGTCGCATCAGCTTGGAGACTTAGATGGAGAGAAAGTGCTGCATGCTTTACATCTCTGGAAGGCCAAAGATCATAAATCAGGGGACGTACAAAAAGGACAGTGTTTTCATAATATTTCTCTCTCAGTGTGGGGGTGTACAGATTTGCAGAGCCCTTTGACGGGGCAGATTCCTGACTAATGGAAAGCAGGCTAAAGCACAAGATGCTGCACTAGTCTAGTTCAGTGAGCCCTTGGTGCACCATATATCGGTGGCCAAAACATTATTCTTTATATCATTGGATTTCTTGTCCTATTCACCTTATTTTTAATGTAAGAGTGAGTGTGACCATTTGTAACTTGAATGTGTGAGGCTTCAGGTGTCAACCTCTTCAAGATAGTTCAACTGTACATAAACTTGCATACTTCTCTCATCATACAAATGGCCAAAGTACCCTACATGATAATGGACACGTCACTGGGAATCACATCATGCTGCTCCACAGACCACCACGGGTACCACCACAGACTGTCATTGTGCTAACTTTGTGCTCAACATCACAGCGGCCAGCACTACACCGACATCTTGACTATGGATTTAGTAGAATAATGGCTCCTCACAGCTCTCATTATCCACAACCCATTCAATCACTGCATTTGATTCATTTATTCTTTGTAAACGAATCTGTATAGGAACAGCGTTTCTGCCTAAATTAAAATTGGTCAGTGCTCTGTGATAGATTGAAAATGAGGAATCCAATCAACAGCCAAAGAGAGGCCTATTGACCAGAGCAATGCAGATAATACTGTTTCTATTTGTAACTTTACCCATGTGACATTTTAGTAGAAATTGAAAGACAACACCAAGAAAACAGAGCTGCATGCATTGATTTACTCTCAGGAATATTAATGGTTGGCTCCACCCCCCCAGCATGATACAGATCAACTGCTCTCATAATCCATACACACACACAGACCCATAAATAGACACATACACTTATGCAGATCTCAGCAAATGAGCCTGCAAGCGGGCAGCCTTAAGAACACTTGATCTACTGTCAGGACTCCAATCACGTAAAAACACAATTCTTCATTGAAAACATAGACAGCAAAGTCTTGGTGAATTTAATAAATGGCTATGTAAGAGCAACTAAATCAAAGATTTATGGTACTCTCTGAGCCAGCACTGAATTTTTCCCACATTGAACATATTAAAGATAACCTGATAAATTTGGTGCTGCTAGCATGTTGGAGAATCGATGTGCACTTCCAATCAAGACAAACACGGCAGGCAAGGTTATAGAGAGATGCCTGCCAAAAGCCATCCTGAAATCACAAACTCTATCTCCATTGATATTGTATGATGCCAAATTCATTAAAACAGGTGCTTTGTTCATTTTAGATCTTTATATTTGTCAAAATGAACACCATGGGAGTTAATACAAAAAACTGATTCAGTGAGGCTGAATGCAGTTGGTTCAAAGTTCTATGATTTACATGTAGTGTACTGTATATCATCTGACAGTGATCAGTGATTCCCACACAGTCAGCAACAGCTGGACATTCATACTGTAACCAGTCTTCCAGCACATTGACTTGCCCCTCTTCACACTTATAACACTCTGACAGCTCATGTGAGTGATTCCTCTCCGCTTGACTCATAAAAGCAGTCTGTTGATATTAAACTGCCTGCCTTAAATTATAAACCTACATGCAATATAACTACAGAAATGTACAGCATGTAAAACTGTTTTCTCTTGGAAAGAAAACTATTTTGGCAGGGAGATTTTGGAACTTTCAAATACTGACAATCCATCTTTCTCTGTGGAAAGAGTTTATATTAGTCAAAAATAACGTTTAAATTGACCCCTGTAGCTAACTTGAAGGCCTAAAATTAATTCCAGCTGCCAGGATAGGTTCAGGTTGTCAAATGTATGTGAAATATTTAGGATGGAACTGGGTGGGTGTAATGGTTGTGAAATATAACTTAATTCACCCACCCACTTCTATCCTAAATATTTCCAGTGGGATGCCAGAAAGCAGCTGGGTACGGTACAGACCATGTGAAGTGCCAGGATTCACAGTTTCAGTATGTAGGCATTGCCAGTGGAGCAAAGACCCTCCAAATCACAAAGATGGCTACAACCAATGCTGCATGAAAGCAGCATATCCTGTTTCACATAGACTTTGGGTTAAAGCCCTCAAAAATAAAGATAAACTGATAAATATGTTTCACAATAAGACTGAAAGTCCAGAGAGAGGCTTTGTTGACAATGTGAAGAATCGTCTTTATTACAGCAGAATCGTAACAATCTCAGGGGCACAGATAGCTTCCTAGAGTCTTACATTAAGGGACTTTGTGTTTTCAGTTAGCTCAGAGAAGAGAGACTGATTTAGAGTTAAGACTGATTCTTTTAAGAGGGATAATATGACTGATGTTCTTGTAGTGTGTTTAGGCACTTCAGCGTTTTGGATCGTTACATTAAAATCATTGGGTATTTTATGTCTTTGTCTTAGTTGTTCCAATGATTTGCAAAATAGAATGTTTTACTGATTTACAATTTGACTAAGAATAAAAACATTGCTTTACAATTAACACAACATGTCCCATTACTCTTGTCATACAGTGCTGCACATAAAACAAAGGCTGTTTTAAACAGCAACAGCTGGCTGTGAGAAGCTCCTACTAACTAACATACAGAAGTAATTTAGAAAGTTGGTGAATGTCACAATACTTACTAGAATATCACTGACAATCAAAAAGAATCTTATTGAGAATAATTGGAAAATGTTACAGATAAGGACCCTTAAAACCTTTGAAAGCAAACTGTTTTGTGAAAAACACACACTGAATTCATTCTCGGATAACATTAAGGGTAATTAACAAGGTACAATTATCATACAGTTGCCTATATAACACTATAGTCAAAGGTGAGATCTGAACCTAATAAACTACAGGGATCGTGTTAAATACAAAACTCAGGGCTATTCAGACAATGTGTCTCCAGGAGGGACGCTCCATATGCTGTAATTAAAAAACACACTGGGATGCCATAATTACTTGCAGGGATTTAACATAATTACGACCTTTGTATGATAAAGTACTCACTCTCACAGCCAAACAAACAGCAAAAACAACATGCTTAAGCAAAAAAAAAATGAAGATGAACTGAGAATAACTTTAAATTCTAGAAATCAGTATGAGGGTAAATCTACAAATGCTGCTGTAATGCAACATTTTACACTTTGAAGAGAACTGAAAAGGTCAATAATGAATTTTAAATTTTAATCTTACTTCATTTTTAGTGAGATGCTTTATATGCTCTTAGCATCAGTTGTTACTAAAAGTATTATTAAAAACTGTGTATCTCATAAATAAGAAGGCTAGTATGTTGTTAAATCTGCAATAAGAACAAGCTACAAAATAGTAACGTTAGTTTAAATTAATAGGTGATATCTAAACAACAGATTAGAATAGAATTTCAATACCGTTTTTTTTTTACAAACAAACAAACAAACAAAAAAAAACAATAATGCAAGTGTCACTTGTCGCAAAACAAAAAAGTAGCCTTAATTAGTAAATCTTAAAGAAGGCTATGCTAGGCTACTACTAGTGGATAGTGAATAGTTAGGCAATGTCACTTAATGTTAAAGAATCAGTAGTTACGTTAGCCTGCCTGCCGACTACTGAATAAGTAGGCTACTTGTATACTTGCCTATCTAGTGAATTGTTAAGTTAAAAACACGGTCGTCAGTAGTAACTAAAAGTAGCCTAGGCTACTATCCTACAGTGAGATACACATATAGTATGGTTAATTAGTTATAAGCAATGCATGTTAAAACAAAACGTAGCCTCAAGACAGAAAGCATCTGTAACGCTGTGAGCTCAAACTTTTTAAAACAGATTCAAGTCACTCACCGTTGACTACGTGAAGAGCCCTTGAGCAGTACCGTCCATAAAGAAGCTTCTGAAGAAACAGCGTATTGCTGTTATCAATGCCTCCAAACTAAAGCTGGTGAAGTTCACGCAGATCTGAGCCGCCGTTTCTCTTCTCAAAAGTAGGACAAAGTCCCGTAGCTGTTAACAGTTAATACACGGAGACACTGCATATCTCAGCGTCCATCCCGCTGGAAGTGACTGCTGCAAACTGCATTGAATCCCTCTGCTCCCTTTCCCTGTCCCTGCCCCCCTCGCTCCGAGTCCGCACTGACCCGCCGCTGGCAGAAGCGCGAGAGTGAGCCTCACATTCGGTCCCGACCGCTGATCTGGAGCGACACAAGCTGAGGCTATGGGAGAGTGGCCAAGTGCGGGGGGCTCGAGACGGACGACACGTTCAAGTTCACGAAGCAATTTGAACTGGCTTGTAATTTATGGTGAATGGAGAACCAGCCGTAAACAGGCACTGCTGAGTGCTGAATAGATAGGCTACATTTTATACTGACGCTAAATCACCATTAATCATCATGAATGCGATTTTTCTCGGGTTTTTGGGTTTGTTTCAATGGTCAAACATTTGTTTATCATTGATTCCAGAAAAAAATGTTTTTTAATTTTTTTTTTTTTTTTAATTCTTCCTAGTTCAGATTTCATCCGTGAACATCATACGCTGCACAAAAGTCCGCCACCATCAATGAATTAAAGACAGAGATAGCAGTGTTACCTAGCTACTTCCTATGACAAGACCCCTGTTCCAAGATGGGGGCGCTTTTGACGCATGCTTACCCAATGTGACGTCTAGTAGTGTATGTCTATGGATATTTTCCTTATTGTTTACATTTGCAGCTTCGTAAATTGTTTTATGTTTCATTGTTTTACTGTGTAAATTTGCTGAAAAAATAAAGGCTTGAACACTGCAAAAATCACGTTTTTCTTTCGTCAAATACACATGATTTTAAGGCAACCAAGTTACTTTTTAAAGTTAAACCAACAATAATTTCATTACAGTGAAGTTCCACCGTGACAACATAGCCTATAGTAGGCTATGTGACAGCATGCATCGCAATAATAAGTGTAAACCCATCTAATTATTCAATTAACTGCTGGATTAGCAGCCGCTCACCGTTCTCCGGCATCAGCTGTTTTGGCATCCCTCCACCTCCCCAACTCCACCAATATAATTCAGGACATCTTCATAATCCAAGCATTAGTCCCACTGGGGGGTATATATCTAAGCTTGAGTTGAAGTTGCTTCCTCGAGCCCCTTCACAGTGGACAGCAAGCCAAATAAACTTAACCTTATAGCTTAAAGATTATGGGCAAAGAAACTCATGAACTGTTTAATATCTTTCTTTCTTTCTTTCTTTTTTTTTTTTTTTTTTTTTTTATAATCAAGAATGGTGCTTGTGTCTTGATTTTCAAAAACATATCCACCCTGAAAAATATTTACTGGACTACAAAGTGTGACAATCATTTTCCATAGTCATTTCTGAAACAGTCTATTCTAAGTCCCCTGACCAGGAAAGGTCTTTGAAATATGACTCATTATTGTTTGAGGTATAGGACTAAATAAGCACAGAGGGTGAGACACAAAGAGCAAAGGAGTGGTATTTGTTATCAAGGTTCAAGGTTCTTGTCACTCTGCTCAGGGCAAAACATTGATTATTATAACTCTACATTAATTGTCTGATCTGTCAACTAAATGTTATATCTGACCAAACATCATCAAATAAAGACTTTGAACAGCACGAACGTCTCAACTATTCCGTTTATTATGAATAGACTTTATATATAATGTCTAAATATGTTGTAAATATATATACAGTAAATGAAAGGCTGTAGGGGGCTCACCGGGGTTCTCAGCAGGACAACAAATGTGTCATCATTCATTGTTTATAACCTGACTTCAAGGCCAGTAACATTTCTAAAGAAACCTTGACTTATGCAGTAATCATAAATAAAACCAAAATTGAAAGAGGCATCAATGGCATGTGAATAAGTATCTGTATATGATCTTAAAAATGTATTTCAGCAACAACACTGTTACTGTAGATCAACTTTGTTTTACAATCATAGATCATAAATTGAACATCAGTGCACACAGAATTCCACAAAAGTATTCAAAGGTTCTAGAAAATATATAAATCAAGTTCATATTCATTTAGACTACAAACACTTTATTATCTGAGTTTACAAGACTCAAATTTTTCAGTCACTATAGATGTTTTCTTTCTTGTCCCCATAATTCCATCTGATCATATTGTTAAGAGGTGTAATGATGCACTGTGAAGGGAGCGTGAGAACAGATGACTCCAATGAACATTTATGACAGCCCCTCATGCGTTTCAATGTTTTCATGCTTCTATGGATTCTCATATGCATTTATTTAAAAGCAGCCACATTTAAGTAATGCACAATATATCATGATTGACTCTGACTCAAATATGAAAAGTTATTTACCATTTGCAGTTTAATAAAATGCAACTGCAGTCCTGGTTTTGAGCCATGGTGGCCATAAACAAATATAAAGGCTCTTAGATCATATGAGTTCATTAATGTCATGGGGCTCAATTAGACATTCAGTTTCAGAACAAACTAGCAAGCCTGCAGGGATACATTTGCATAATTCAAAACCTGTTAAATCAGCGGAGCGCACTGCAGCATAAACATTCTCACATGTACACTTTTGTACTGTACGACCTCTCTTTGTCCACAAGCTTCCCCATAACAGTGTAGAGTACATACAAAGACAAAACTAGGCCAATAACAGTCTATTTTCCCCTCGGCTTGTTTGAAGCTGTTAATTGTTGTGCTGTCCTTTTATTATTTAAGACTTGCTTGCTAAAAATGCAACAAAGTCAGTTATTTCACACATTAAACATTTCTCCTATATTGTGAGAGCCATTAATAGTCTAATTTTCCATCACAGAAACTTTGAGAAACTCTTCTGCAATTCATCTTTAGTCTTAGAAAGAAAAAAGAAAAAAAATGTAAATTGTGGACCCGTTTCAAATAGAAACCGACAGCAGGGGGCATCTCATTTCTCCAGCCAATTTCTCAATCATTACAATATTAAAGACAAAGATGGATAGAGAGAAAGAGGGAGAGCAAGAGATAATGAGCTGTTTACCTTGTTTCTTGGCTTCATTTTAACTTTTCAAAGTCTTTCAGGTTCAGAGTTTGATGCATAAATATGGACAGATTTTGCCGATGTGATGTAACTTGTAATCGGTCAAAGAAATTAATTTTACTAGAACAGAATACTAAAAACTAGCATTGATAGAATGGCAAATTACATTTTAAAGGACAAATCATTTTCCATATCTTGATCAAATTCTAGACCGATTGGCTATTATAATACAACATTTGGTCCAGTGTTTATGTGTTTCTTACATGCTTGGATGTTATCATGTTCATGTAAAATATAATGTATCTTTTCCCTGTCAGTTGCTCATGATACATGGATGGATGATGATGTGGATAACAATTAAAAACACACTTCTTTTGGATTTTTGGCTTGAACACTAAATTTGTTTATCACTTTTAAGCCAGTCATTTTCTAAGAAACATCTCTCCACCCTTAAATGAAAGAGCAGAAACCAAAAAAAACAGAGATGTAAACAAAGTGGCCAGCATAATCAATGGCATGCAATGATGATTGCAATCAGATCTGATTGATAAAGACAGGATCTTTAGTCATTTTGTTGGAGAGAGCTTACAGAAACCCCTTAGGGTTCCTGTGGATGAAAAGCATTGCCACATTTTATAACGCCTACCATATTTTATGGCCATTTCACAAATGCTCAAATAATGAACCAGAACAAAAAAAACACCATCATGACTTTCGTAGCAGGAATAAACAGAATCATGCTTGTTCTAATTGATAATTTATAACAGATTTTCCAGATGGAAAATCTCAGTAATGCTTTGCAGATTGAGGCACAAGAGACACAGTCAAAGATTTAATTATGGAGAATAAAGCTAAAATAATATACGTGAGAAGAGTGCAAGCACCAAGGGTACTGGTCAGCATACCGTACAATATCCGAGCAGGATCATAATTACTCTATGAAGCGACTTCAAAGAAATCCCAAACATAATGAGTGCAGAATAACACTAGAGTCTGAGCCGGACTTTAATTACTTCAGCTCCTCTGGAAAACTCTTTCCAATAGTCTGCATTCTTGCAATTCCTGTGATTGTACATGACCACAAAATAGGATTATACTTTTTATTTAAATGGATGTTTTCCCAGTAGGGTTTGCTTCTCTCGGGCACTGCAGAGCAACTTGACAGTGAGCAGTTTTAGTCAAAGCAGACTAGTTCAGAGTCGCTCATTGTGAAGCAAAGCCATTGTGTGGCTAAATTAAGCACTCTTTCAATTCAAAGAACCAGTCTGTTACCCTCACCCAAGCCCCAACTGACCCACTGAGTAGCACCACAAAAGTGTCTTTGCTTACAGAGGAGCTTTGTGCGTATAGTTGAGAGTATCTGGCCCTTTTTTAATGGTATGGTGAACTACTTGATTATGCCACTGCAGACAACCAAAGAGAAACAAGTGGAGCCTCAGATCAGCAGTGAGAGAATTTCAGACACTAAGGCTCAGTTTACACTTTGTTTCAGTACTTTGAGTTGTAGACGAGGAATGAGTGCAGTGTTAAGCAGCTGAATCCGGCATTGTTTGGGTGACAAAGTTGTATGCACAATGTTCTGTTACTGTCAATGGTGTGCACCACAGCATCCTGGATCTGTGTGTTTGTGCAGGATGTGGCATAGTGGATCTACATGGGCATGTTTTTTTTGTGTGTGCACATGTGTGTGCTGTGTATGTGTCACCATTACATAAGTGCTCACTGCTGTCCTGAGGGTGGTGAAAACCAAGAGCCGCAGCTCACAGTATGAAACGGCCACACACAGACTTTTTCTGCACTGATTTTAAGGGAAAATCTGCAAGTACAGATTTAAAGATGGTAAAGACATACACTCTAAAAAATGTTGGCTTTGTTTTAACCCAATTTTGGGTCAAATATGGACAAACACAGCTGGGTTAAATGTATAAACATTTGGGTTTGTCTGTATTTGACCCAAAATTGGGTTAAAACAACCCAGCATTTTTTAGAGTGTAGATATTTGAAATACCAAATGCAAAACATCATAAACTCCTATATACTTTTTATGTCATATAGCAATCTTCTCTGTGGGATTGGACCATTACACTCTAAAAAATGGCGGGTTGTTTTAACCCAATTTTGGGTAGAATATGGACAAACCCAGCCATTGGGTTAAAAAGATCATTTAAAATGTAACCCAATGGCTGGGTTTGTCCATATTTTACCCAAAATTGGGTTAAAACAACCCAGCCTTTTTTAGAGTACAGTTTCTTCATCATCAGCTTCTGTTGTATCATATTATCTCAAAACAGAACATTGATTATCTTCAATTGTAAAAACACCTCAAAGCTGTTGAGGAAATACCTGAGGACTTCTACTGTTAGACAGTGGCAAAACGCTTTCATTGTCTTTCTTAAGATGCTAAAAGAAAGGTTTCTTAGTAATCACAGAAATTTTGGAGGACATATAATGAGGAAGCATATAAAGGGGAGATAAAGATATGGCGCAGTGGGAAGGCTAGTTTATATTCGTCTACAGTGAAGGTGATAGGATCTAAATTGAGGAAGTGGGGCACAAAGAGTCGTCTCTGATGTTATTGAAATCCATGGGGCAGACAGAGATAAAACTGAACCTTATCAAAGAATGAGGCACAATCTATCTGCATCTCACATAACACTGCCACTGCACAAATCACACACACACACACACACACACACACTTTTCCTGCTTGTGTTGTTCTTAGAGCAGGTGTCAGCATTAACCATGATAACATTGAGCTAGCACCCTCCAAACAAATGCAAAGACATACAGGCAACGACAGCCGTTAACTGGGTGTAAACACACACTTTCTACTGTTTGCGTGACTGTGGTGACATTTTGAACTCGCCACAGGGAAAACTCAAGCCATTTCAAACGTTGTTATCGTCATTTCTTTTCTGTAGATGGATTTAGAACGGTATACAGTGGTGGCATGCTGTGTGCTGTAGAGAAATAGGAGATGGGTGAGTGTTTATTGCCATAATATTACATCTTTACAATACAATTCAATACAATATTATTATAGTACATAATAAGAGGTGTCTAACACAGAGGTCTTTCGCATTAGAGTGTTTACATTACTCTTATTGAGGCCCAGATGGAACCTAGACTTTCTTTGCATGTTAAGCTGATTTTAAGGTGTAATTAAATTCTACAGTTGTGCTAAAATATTGATTTAGAAATTTAAGAAGTAGGAAAACTGTTACCAAGGACATCAATCATAGTTTAGTGGTCATTGTGTAAGGTATAAGATCATTTTAGTTTATGTGAACAGAAAATATCATATTGTCTATAAGCTTCCGATATGACAATAAGTCAAATGTACAAAACAATCGGCCTAACAACAATATATATATATATACTCTGAATGTTCTCACCTTTTACTTGGAACTGGAATGAGCTTGTAAAGTTTGACAATTTTATAAAGATAATTTATGTTTTGTTTTGTTTTTAATGCAAATCTGAGAATTTTGTGTTAATGACATTTGTTGCCATATTTTGCATAAGACCCAAAAATGGCGTACCTATGCATTATACAATGCCAATTTGTAGTATAAATAGTACAATTAATGTGTTCACACCAAGCGGCGACATTCTAATCTGAAAAATGAAGCCTACCCGGAAGTGCGGAAAAACTGCAATACATCTAAAATCCGCTAGAGGCCGGTCCCAAAAGGGAGCAAATATCCATAGATCCCATGTTAAAATGTCCGTTTTCACAGCATAAATTCATGCTTTTACAGGCTGGTCCAATGGACTTTTATTGTATTTTTCGATAGGTTTCGAGTGCCTGACAACTGTGAGGGGGGTGATTTTTTTTCTAACTCATTAGTTTAGATCGCATTTAGATATAAAATGTATGACATAAGGCCGGTTAACTTTGATTGACAGCTGATAACGGGCTGCACAGAGTGGAATTTAACGTCTCGGCCATGATCTGACAAAACACATCATACCACCTCTGAATCTTTTCTGAACATTTGTATTTTGTATTTCTCAAGATTTTCTAATATGGCGCCAGCCTCAAAACTGTTCTTCAGAAAGTCTATGGGTGACGTCACAGACGCTTTGTCCATATTTTTTACAGTCTATGGTTCACACTTAAGATTCCAAAAGGAACAAATGCACTTTAAATACCATTATACACTTAATTAACCAAATCATGTGGAATGTTGGATGCTTCATTGGAACGTTTGACTTGGACGACGACATGAGTGAATGAAACCTCTCTCTTTCACAAACAAATAAAAAGGGTGAGGGGAAGAGTCCAGTGGATTTCTTCCTCTCCTACTCAATAGGCAGCATCACAGAAAGCTTTGCTTAGTTAAATTACATGGGTGGATTCATCAATAAGTGATGTAACACTTGGACTAAAGTGGGTTAATAAGTTGGCCTCTTCCATCCGGTGAAACGCAGGTCTGTAGTGTACCAGTGGCTGAACACGGCCTCCCTCAACTCAACAGGGGAAAGAATGATAGCTGGATCCTGAGCTGCCACAGCAGCTGTGGAAATGTTATGCTTGGCTGAGACAAGCACCAACAGCCAAAAGTTCCCATGGATGATGCATTGATGTCTGCTCAAACACTGGCTTTTTGTTCAGCAAAATGGGCTTTCCACTTTTTTGACACGTTAACTTTAAGCTACAGGATTAATGGGTACACTTGCACACATTTATTCATCTTTTGGTTTATTTTTGTGTAAGCAGTTGGAAACATTGGAGGGTTTTTTTTCACACCACCAACCTATTGAGACTCTGACTGTCACTAAAAAAACCTCACTCTTAGAAAAAAGGGTCCTATATATGTAGCATAGGGTTCTTTACTCAACTCCAAAGGACATTTTATGCTAAAAAAAAAAAAAGGTTCAATAATGACAAGAAAGAACACTTTTGCCACAAAGGTTATTTAAAGGCTATTATTCATCATACATTCATATACATTATTAAATTATTGTTTATTAAACTGTTGTAGTAACTTAATATCACATTTTAATCATGCTGATTTTTGGAGGATAAAAACTGAAATGGCACTCTTCGTCTGATATTGATCAAGTACATTTTTTAACCACCTCATATCTTGAATTTTGAGATCATTCACATGTATTCCATTTTAGGAGTTCCAAAAATGTAGCGCTTTAGAACCTTTTAAGGTTCTATATAGAACCTTTAAAGCAGAGACTTCTGGAACAAACAGACAAGCGAGTGATACAAAGAAAAAGACACACTACATAGAAAGCATAGCCGTGCTGCATGTACTCCTGGAATGCTCGACCAATCAGATTAGAGACTAAACCTAACTGTTGTACAGTATAATAAAAAGGTTACTGTATTTTGGTAAAGTTACACAAAAAATACATGTTCTGAATAGTGTTACGTCTGTAAATAACTTGTATAATAAATTAAATATAATGCTATGACTGGCAGATCGAGTCAAAGCTGTGCTGCTCACTTGTATAAAAGCAGGAACAGTAAATGAATGAAGTGCATGAACACAGAGGCAGGGGTGAGATGGAGGTTAAAGTGTAATTTGAATCCATTTAGGGATGTCACTCATTCAAGGATATAGGCTTCAAATGATGGTGCAGTGCCTACAGCAGCACTGGAGTAAGTGCACTGATCGTTCAATGCACTGATGAGAGGAGACGGGTTAGAGTCTCGGGAGCATCTGTTTTTAGTGTTTCCTCCCTCTGTTTCACCTCCCTGTCCTTCCGCTTTAGTACTTAGACCGGTGAGGGCCCATCCAAGCTGTCTCACATACAGTTTAAAAGTAAGTTTGAAAGTTGCTTCAGGACAGACTCAACAAAAATACAGTAAAATACTGCTGTAAAGTATTTTGTGTACTTTGGGCAATTTGAACTTAGAACAGAATACTATATTAATTACATTTCCGCTCATTTTCAAGTTATTTACTATGATAAATTCTGTCTCCTGATTTCATAAGGCTATCCCTGAAGCAAAGTGAAAGAAATTTATGCTTAATGCTTAATTAAAAGTGGAAACTTTCTTATGTGTTTGGTTGGATACTGGTTAGATATTATCAGTCATGTATAGAAAAAGTGTTAATACTTCACATTACAATGTCTATGTTACTTGTATTGTTTTGCACAGTATTTTCTGTACATGTTTCTACGACCATTGCATAATACAGAAACCGGTTGCATATTAAATACATGTCAATGGTGTGTAAACATCTATCCTGCTTATAGTCTATTTACAGTGGATATTATTCAATATTTCAGATTAACATTTTACAAATATCATGCATGTAGGAGATTGGGGAAAAAAGATATAATATTGCTAAAATTTACAGCAAGTACAAAAAATGAGCAAAGCTATTCTTCTGTAACTAATAGGTTTATATAGATGAATAAATAAAGAATAAGCTTGGACTTGCTTAGAAAGTTTGCTGAATGACAAATGAACAAAAGACAGGAATAGTAAAGGGCTGCTCTAATGTGGAACGGCTGAAACTCCCATGGAGAACATCCACGTGCACTATTTCCAGCAACTAAGATTGCTGACTATTTTAGGCACTATGCATTTAAAGAAACATTGCTTAACTGTAAAACTGCCGCACATACAGTACGTAGCCTATAAGAAACAACACACACTTAACGTACAACAATGCTGTTTGCATTTACAATTATCAGCAAATCTAACAAAGATTTTGCTTTCCAATTGCATTCGCATCATTTGTTGTTTCTAGATCTGCCTACTGATTTAATTTAATTAAATTAATTGCAAGACATGTTGATTAAATAACGAGTGTATTGCAGAAATACTGAACACTCTTTGTGGTTGAGGACATTATGGAGCACATTTCAATCTTTAGTCTATAAGCACTGTCCAGCCACATCAGCACGCACACTCATATTTTCAAATTATACAGGATTTTCTACAGAATTAATTCAGCATCAGAGTTAATAAGGATGAAAAGGGAAATAATTGGTGTAAATGGAGTATGGAGAAATGTGGGTCTAAGACTGAAGCTAATTCCATAGCTCGAAGACCCTTCCGTTGTAAAGCATAATGAACAAATGTCTTGAGAAAATTATAGAATGTATAAAAGTCATCTAGGAAGTTCAATGAATGAAAAAGTTAGGAAAAATAAAGACGAAATTAGTTAAATAGAGGACAAAATATAAGTCTTCTATGGTAACACTTTAAAATAAGGTTCCATTTGTTTGTTAACATGAACTAACAATGAAAATCATTATAGAGCATTGCTTACAGTAACCTTAGTTAAATTTATTTTCAACATACTAATATAGGATTAAAACCAAACGTTGTATTTGTTAATATATATATATATATATATAATGAGAAAAATAAACTGTTGTATGTTTATTAATGGTTAATAAAGTAACAAATGTACGCATCTCGTGAAAACAGTTCAGCTCAGACATATACATTTGGGAAGAAGGATTGATGATGTATTGTCTCATTATTTAAATTTTTAACAAAAAAGCGAGTACCCAACCTTTAATTTATAGAACATTATTATAAAGTGTTACAGTTTATACATTTTATATACATTAATATTTACATTTAATCATTTAGCAGCTGCTTTTATCCAAATTGACTTACAAATGATAAAATCAACATTAGAACAACAATAGTGCAAGTGCCATGGGACTATAGTCAAAATTATCCTAGCACAAGTAGCAAGGTATATATATGGACAGCCCATTCTCACCCCCAAGGCGTCACCTAATTGACGCCTTGGGACGCATTTTGACCATGCTTCAATATCTGACGCTTTAGGCGCCCTTTAGCGTCAGATAGATGACGCCCTAGGATCGCGTATAACCCTACCCCTAGGCGACCCTAGACCTAAACCTAACCGCGTCATCTGACGCTTTTCCTTTAGCGTCAGTTGGATGACGTCGTAGGATCGCGTCATGTAACTGACGCTAAAGGGCGTCTGAAGCATGGTCAAAAGGTGACGCCTTGGGCTGAGAATGCGTTGATATGGATGAATATAGAAGTGTTAGTATAGTATATCACACTTACTTTTAGTGACTTTTTTTCTCTCTAGATCCTTATGTAATTACCAGGCAGCAGGGGATCTACAGGGAAAAGGGAAAAGCATTAAAATCTATTAAGCAATGTCAGTGTGGTTAACTCAAAATGTTCTTATGTTCCTGTTTTAGCTCCTATCTCAGTGGAATAGTCGGAGACGGCTTTTAGCTTGGTGGCATTTGTTTCCTGTCTGTAGCTGAGGATGTGGAGCGGGGCTGTTTCTGAAGAGGAATGTGCACTGAACCGAAAACACAACCAGAGCCTATGTGTTAACATAGTTATTTATGTGTTTATAAGTTTACATATGCGTGACTGCGGCTGCACTCACATTCATATATTCAGGATGAGAACTGAGTTTAACCACCTCAACAGCTGTGCGTTTGTCATCCTAGGCATTTGTACATCCACATGGGAAGAAAACTCCAAGAACATGCAGCTGTTCACTCTGTCTTTTTCTTACTGTTATCCACCCTTCATCCCATCACCTCTCTCCAGAGGGCTTTCATCAGGAACAAAAACAAACCCATACAAAATGTAATTTAATATAATTTTAGCAGTTTTTTTGTCATAATTCCGGCAGGGAGGGGAAAAAAACCTAAATATCTTACAAAACATGCAGTCATTTTACCTATTCTTCATAATGGTTCCCACAATGCTCCAGTCTTTTGGCTGCGCTTTCAGCAGATGTGGGGTTCAGATTCCTCACTGTGTCATTATTGAGGCCCTGCTTCACTTCAGAATGACACACGAAGAACAGAAAACCTCTCTGCTGGAGACAGGGATCATGTGTCTCAGATAATAAAACAAGTTTCTCAAATTTCTTAAGCATATAGAAACAGATCAGACATTTACATTAAAAATAAAACATCCAGAGAGTCAATGTGCCTGTACCATACAAAGGTCCTTGTAGAAATAGTCTATAATTGCACCTTTAAATCAGTATGTTCAAAGCATGGTTTTTCTGTTTACTGAAAACTGCTGATGTTTCAGATAACATGGTTCAGTGAGTGGACAGGAGGAAACAGAATAGAGTGAGTACAGCAGCCAGTTTATCTGATCTGGGACTGGGTGAACAGCAACAAATGTAACCCAGTGTATATATTCAATTATATTTAGCTGCATTTATGATTATATTAACGTTTAAAAGCCTTGGTAACAGTTGAATTCAAGCCTATATACGATGCATTATAAAAATATGAATATAATATAAAATAAAAATGATATTAAAATAGTCTTGTAATTATCTCATGAATAATTGTAAGTAGGCCTACTTATTCACGATACAGCACGGTAAAACGGTTACAACACAATACAATTTTGAACGATGGTGTAAATTTATAGGTTTCACAGGTATAGCAGTAAACACAAGCACCACTCAGCCAGCAAGTGTCAGTATATTTGACTCTGAACTGATCTCTAGTAATCTTGTGTGAACTTTATTTGAGGACAGCAGTGTTACAAGTTGATGAGTGATACAGTTGAGTTTGTGACACACTGCCATCTGCTTCCAAGCAAGGCACAGAGTGCGCCTGTATTGTTAACTGGGTCAATTCCCTCTGGAACATCCTCTGTGAGATAATCTCTAATCCAGGATTTTTCAGCAGCAGGATCATCTAACTCAATTAAAGTTAACTTCATTTGCAGCCAGAACTCAAAGAGTAAGCTTCTGCTGAGAGCTGCTGTGTTTGATCTCTCTGGAGAGAATGCCACTGAATATAGATCACAGGGATGTAAAGGGATGTTGCAGCTGTCTTCACACATCTGGAGGAAATTACATACTGACATTTTTTAAAATTTTATTTCAATGTTTACCTCACAGACACAACACATTCTAAACACTGTGATTGGTGTTATTAAAAATAAGTCTACTTTAAATCTAATTTCTCTTCTGTTTATGATGCTTGACGGATTTCCCACAGCACGTGAGTCTGAAGAAAACGAGTACTGTAACTCGCTTCTTTGTTAAGAAAACTGTGCAGCTTTCCAGGTAAGCATTCAGCCTCAGGGTATTGAGTCACACAAGGATATAACATTTGTCATATAATTTAAATAAGCACAGGGGAGCTGAATAATTTTCTGAGACAAATCCCTCATAAATAGGTCTACTTTAAGTATTTAAAGTCACCGTGTAAGACTATTCTTATCCTTTTTTTTCATGTGGCCTTGTAATCTATAATCAAAATAAGTTTTCCCTTTTGCAGTGCATCTCTTCAACTCTGATGACATGTTTACTGGCGCGAGATTGGGGAAATCTGTCACTCACATGACATCACATCAATAGCAAACGCCAATGATCAAATCAAATCCTCATGGACAAACCAAATCAAGTCCTCCTCCTTGCTCGAGGAGCCGTTTCACTTGGACATACGGAACATCGTAAAACATGAATCTGCTGTCAATAATTTTTCATTTGGATTTCATCAGACTTGCATGGCCATTCATCTCCATTTAATTAATAGTTGAATAAAAGTCATTATTTATTTATTTTCCACACAAAAAGTAGGCTATTCTCATCACTTGATAAACTTAGATTGAGCCACTGTAGTCACTTGGACTATTTTGACGATTTCTTTAATAACTTTTCTGGGCTGGCAAGTTTCAATCCCTTAGAAGCCTATGGAGGAGAGATCTAGCTCTCAGATTTAATAAAAAAAAATATCTTAATTTGTGTTCCGAAGATGTTGGAACAACATGAGGGTGAGTAATTATGACAGAATTTTCATTTTTTGGGTGAAGTATCCCTTTAAGAGATAGAGCGACCATATGGTTCAAGTTTTCACTATTTCATTAGGCCTATGTTTATGCTCATATTGGCCTTGCGAGCTCAATAGTTCAACTTGGTAATGGAAGGAAATGCAAAGGGTTTAATAGTTTTACAATTGTAATGGTTTTAGCCTAATATAACAACTTAAACTGATTAATAATACCAGAATTTATTTTTGATGAATTTTTGATATTTTTGATACAAAAATTAATATTCCAAATTTATTGTGATAGGATTGAAATAATTTAGCCCAAGGGTTCGAATTGATAACTGTATGTCATAATTATTATTATTTTTTTCCACAAATGACATAACCTTTTATCAGTAACCAGAAGCATTCCTTTAAAAAAGAGAAAGGTTAATAATGCTTCTAAGTAGCTATATAATGGTTATAATATTAATAATCTGTTCGTTGTTGTCAATACAATCAAACACGTCACTCGGATAGGCCTATGATGCATACTCCGAGCTCGTGTTGTGCAGTGCTTGTATTTTACATGATATTTCACTAGGTGGCGCAAAACGACCATAAAACGATCAGAGAGCGAGATTAGAAACGAGATCAAGTATGTATGTAGTATAACCAAATGTAGCCTATATGAGAGTTTTTATGTTTTTGAGATTTGAAAGCAAAGACACTAGACCTTCACAGCCTACTTCCCCTTATATTATCAGGCATCGTCTAAAAGGCAAATATGCTCATGCATGTCTATCATAGTTTTGAGGAGTAACAGATTCTTGTCAAGCACCATGCAGCGTCAAAAGAAACGTTGTGAAAAAAGAAGAGCAAGTAGGCTACGTGATTCTAAATGATGGTAAACAAAACAACAACAAAAAAACATGTGATGTAAAAAATGATAGGCCTACTGCAATGGGACTAGCCTGTTCCTCTGGTTCAGGGTGTTGCCTGCAAAAACAAACAAACACATCTGAGACAGAGACAAAATGAAGGAAAGAACATGTTATAAAGGACAATATCTTACTGTCTATAATTTGTTATTGTCACTTTATTGCCTATGGCAACAGAAAATGAATGTCTTTACTGACAAATTAATAAATTAATAGGTGAGTTAAATTCTAAACTAATGGTATTGGAACCTTTATAAACTAGATAATTCTGCCTTATACAGTAGCATCCACCACTACCAGAAATACATAAAGTTTAAAGTTTTTTTCTGCAATTCTCCACTCAGTTCACAGCAGTACCTGGGTAACAATCTTTTGTTGCTTGGTAACGACTAGCACACGCACAGTAGAAGTACGTCGGGTTCCTTCATGTTTTGCCGATCTCAGTTAAGTTACCTGGAATTCTCCTACACAGCACAGCTTGACCCTTCAAAGTGTCAGTGATACCTAAAGTAAAGTTCAGCAGAACGGGTAGTTCTAGCGCTGAGCGGGTGTGGTGAGCAGGCTGATCGAATAAATTATCGAGTCTCCACCATGGATCACTGCACTTTAACACACACACACACACACACACACACACACACACACACACACACACACACACGCAAATGAGATGCTGATGATCACTACAGTGAGTCATAAACAACTGACATAACAGCAAATAAACTAAAGAATGTAGAAGGGCACGAGTCAGGAGTGACATTGTTTTGACTCATGTTGCTTGCGTTATCATAATTCAATAGCCTATGGACAGATTATGTGACTGGGAAGAAATGCAAGTCTATCTGGTGTTTTTAGTCCAGATGTCCAGAAGCAGACTCACTAAGTTTGTCAGAGATTAAGTCAATTTTAGCGTTATTTATTCACTCACCTAAAGGATTACAAGGAACACCATGTGTTTGACCCCCCTTTGCCATTGGCATTGATTCAACAAGTTGCTGAAAGCAGTCTTTAGAAACATTGCCCCATATTGATAGGACAGCATCTTGCAGTCGATTGCGATTTGTGGGATGCACATCCAGGGCATGAATCTCCCATTCCACCACATCCCAAAGATGCTCTATTGGGTTGAGATCTGGTGACTGCGGGGCCATTTTAGTTCAGTGAACTCATTGTCATGTTCAAGAAACCAATTTGAAATGATTCGCGCTTTGTGACATGGTGCATTATCCTGCTGGAAGTAGCCATCAGAAGATGGATACATGGTGGCCATAAAGGGATGGACATGGTCAGAAACAATGCTCAGGTAGGCCGTGGCATTAAAACAATGCCCAATTGGCACTAAGGGGCCTAAAGTGCGCCAAGAAAACATCCCCACACCATTACACCAACACCATCAGCCTGCACAGTGGTAACAAGGCATGATGGATCCATGTTCTCATTCTGTTTACGCCAAATTCTGACTACCATCTGAATGTCTCAACAGAAATCGCGACTCATCAGACCAGGCAACATTTTTCAAGTCTTCAATTGTCCAATTTTGGTGTGCCCTTGCAAATTATAGCCTCTTTTTCCTATTTGTAGTGGAGATGAGTGGTACCCGGTGGGGTCTTCTGCTGTTGTAGCCCATCCACCTCAAGTTTGGTTCCCATTGAAGTCCATTATATGGAGAAAAATCCTGGAATGTTTTCATCAAAAACCTTAATTTCTTTTCAACTGAAGAATGAATGACATTGATATCTTGGATGACATGCGGGTGAGAAAATTATCAGCAAAAGTTTTTTTTTTTTTAAGTGAACTACTCCTTTAATACCTGTTTATGCAGGAAGTGTATAGACCAGATTAGAAAGCACACTAGTCATTATTAATAAAACAATAAATACACTCAGTTAAAAAGGTACAAAAGCTGAGCTGTCACTGGGGCAGTATCTTTTCAAAAGGTACACTTCTGTTCTTTGAAGGTACTAATAAGTGCACTTACTAATATGTACCTTTAAGGTATCAATATATACCCTATAAAAAAGTGTACCCTTTGAAAAGGCAACTCCCCAGTGACAGCTTTTGTAACCTTTTTTCTGAGTTTAGCCTACTCCTTTTTTAACAGATGAACTGGTGATTTGTGGCTACCCTCATCAATGAAGCACCTCTCAAACAGAAAACATTGTCATATGAATACCACTTGACCACAGAAAAACCTGTTCCAGCTGTGTTTGATGTTTCAAGTGGTATTTATATATCAACACATTATGAATATGCTTGACTCATAAAAGCAGACCTCATTTCATTTCAGACTTTCCCAAAGTGCCCAAACTGCATTTATTCAATATACCAATCCAAAAATCCACAAAGTGAAGCTTCAATACTGTTTATTAAAAGAATTGACTATGTAAAATGTAAACAAAACAAATGTCTGACTTACAAGTTTCCAATGTTGAACAAAACGGATTCACACTTCTCAGCCTCCTCCCCTGCAAGCATGTCCCTGTAGTATTACTGTTAATTAAACACAAAACATAACACTTTGCCAAAGGGAAAATATACACATTAAATTCATACCTTGCTTTGACTGTCTGAATAAACACGGGGCAAGAATGAAACATTAAGGGAATTCGTAATAATTCTATGGTCTTTTCACCATGGTGACAAGCATAGGTCTAACCAGCTTCATTAAATGCAGTTCCAGAGGCAGCCCACACAAACCTACCCACGACTGAGGAGGCATACAACTGTGTACTGACGTGACTCGAGACATGGTCTGCTCTGCAGGAGATTAAATCAGAATACAAGAAATAAGAAGCACACAATCTTGGTTGGAATGTTGTGTAACATTGTAGCACATGTACAACTGGAAACATTTTTTTACAATTTTGGAAAATACTGAAGGGATTTTACCATGCTATGGGTATTACATTTACTTTATTATTATTATAATCAGCATCACCTAAATTGGCATCACTATTTTTTTCCGAAAATTGTAAATATGTTCGCAAATATGCATAGCATGCACCATTAACCACAATTTAGAAAATCCCATTTTGAAACACTAATTAAATAAATATACACAAAACTGTACAAAGCTATAAAATAAATATTTTCACTGACACATTTTTTTGTAATTATACTATGTACTGGAATAAAGTATGCATGACTGAAGGGACCAATAAACTCAATATATGTGTTTTCCGTTCATCTATACGTACAGGGCATAAACCTCTTTAATTATTTATTAAGTAATTATGTAGTCCGTATTGAAAATAGCAAATGGCTTACTAGTACAACAACAAAACAATGTAACACACTCGATCGATAACAATTCTCCCATATAGCTCAGCGGTGACTCCGTTATAAGGACTGAAATGTCTGATAATCTCATATTGTCTTGATCCATTCATTTCACTTCTTGGGACTGTGCATCAAACAGAAGCTGATCCGACTCTCTTGACATCTGTCAAAAAAATAAACCCACAATGGCCAAAGGCTATTTTCCCCGATTTGGTTTTTTTATTTACTCTACTTTGTGTCATTCCAAACATGTATGCTGCTATTATTTGCTATCATGATGTAGCTTGCCATTAATAAAAACAGAATTTAATGAAAAAATACAAAGAAAGTGTTTTTGTGACTCTTTATGGGCTATATCAACTATTCTGAAGCCTTGCAGTATGCCATGAACAGACTAAATTGCTCATGCCTAGAATTCAAAAGTAGCATGTCTTGTTCAGTTACTTCACCCAGGAGAACCAATGGCATTTAGCAACATTAACGTGACATTTTTGAATCTGGAAGCAGATCCGAGCACTGCCGAGTGCTTTGTGTGGTTGCCCTAACTGAGGATAAAAGGCGTAATGACTATTTCCCAATCTATTTCAATACAATCTCCAGTCTCTCTTTTGATCTTTCTCTGTCAATCTCGTTCGCTCTCTAGTGCACTTTAAATTCACTTTGAATGCGGGCAGCAGTCAAGATATTTCTCATCCACAAACCTGTCCTGGCATGTTATAAGATTCTGCAGGAGTGCATCTCTCGCAGGAATATAAGTCTCACGGGATGTAAACATTGCAAGCACAGACCATACGGGCAGCATGAAGACAAGCATCTAATCACAGCTTGTGACCCTCTGGGAGAGTCGAGGGCAGACGTGGATGCAGATCTATTCTGCTCTCATTAGAGACTATGATGGAGTTGTATGCGCGGACATGAACGCCATTTGTCAAATGGAAATTGTGGGGGATTCAGAGATGGAGAGATGATGGGAGTAAAAAAAAAAGAAAGATTGATGATAGGAATGGCTCCAAAAATGACAAAGCTCCATAAAGGCATCATAAAAGTGTCTCATGTGCTTTATTCGCACTAATCAAGTGCATTTCTCATTGCTTTAAAATGAGCATTGTGATACATTTTGAATCTGGCTTTAAGAAGATTTTAAGCTGTTAATGTTATTTCAACCTTTTGGGTCACCATGAGCTGTTGTTGTACGGAAAGAACCAAGGAAAAAATACTTCAAAAGGACTGAGCCCAATGAAAAAGTAGCAACATACTATACAGGTTTGTAAAGACATGAAGCTAAGCAAATAATTAAATTTTTAGGTGCAATATGCCTTAAAGGGATACTCCACTTTTTTTTGGAAATAGGCTCATTTTACAACTCCCCCAGAGTTAAACAGTTGAGTTTTACCATTTTTTATCGCATTCAGACGATTTTCTGATATTGAGAAGAATATCAGTAACTGGGTAGTTTCTGGTTACTGATATTCTTCTCAATATCAGAAAATCGGCTGAATGCATTAAAAAATGGTAAAACTCAACTGTTTAACTCTGGGGGAGTTGTAAAATGAGCCTATTTCCAAAAAAAAGTGGAGTATCCCTTTAAACTTAAAGCACTTCAGAATAAAAAATAAAGTCCAACTCTACTAAAAAAGACAGAATCATTCAACAAGACAAAAACGAGTCTGAACACAAAGATTAAGGAAGAAAGTAAACTACACTATCAGCAGTGCTCATCTTAGCTCTGTTCTGAACATGTGGCCTTAATGTTCTCCATTCGGCTCCACTGCAATCTGCATATTCTGATCTAAACAGACAGAACCAGGTGCTACGCTCTCCTTAAGTGGCGGGAGATACGCCAAAACACTCTTGCACGCAAGTGTGGGCAGCTGAAGCTGGACCGGTTCCAGGACGAACATTTACACAACAGTTTAATGGACTTACTGGAAGAGAAAGGATAATCAAACCCCCCCAATATAACCACGTTACAATACTCATTGTTCATCATGACCCGACTACAACTGAATTTCGTTTATTTGCTGGCAGCAGAAGCCCAATTTCATGACGTCCCGCTAATTTGCTAATCCTGGTTAAGACTTGACTGTAAGAGGTGCAGAAATAATTGGTCATGTCAAAAGGATAATCTAAAAAGGTCAGCATCAGCTTTACTTCTACTCTGTGGTTGCCATGGAAACCTCGCAGTTAATGACTGGAATTCTGATGAAAGAAACCAATAAGGAATCATGTCAGTTCTTGTGCATGTTGACTTATTAGAGATCCGAATCAGACAAATCCAGACTTAGCATGTTTAGTGGTCCATTTTTCAGGGTCATACAGGAACTCATACTGTAGTCTTCCCTCTCGCAGCATTTTCAACACAATTTTATCATATTGTCACTTTCACATAAGTCCTTGTAATCCATTCCATCCTCTCCAGATCTGTCAGAATAAGCAGCACCTCAGGGAAAACAAATGCTACCGGTACATAAAGTGCATCTCAGTGGTTAATACTGTCATCTTCCCTGGTTCCCACCCCTGTGAAACTATTAATAAAAGCCTTATTTACACAATTAGTACCATCAAGTGCATTTCTCATCGTATTCAAAGTCTGTTATCCCTGCTCTTCTTAATCATGATTATTATTACAAGGTGTTACCGATATGGTCAGTGTTGGCATAAATTAGAAAATACTAAAATAAAGGACATATCAGAGACATTCACATGAGTTTTCACACGACTTGCTCCGTCCAGGCGCAAAACTTTCATCCGAGTTCATCTCGTAGCTTTTTTACAACTCTGCCTTGTAAACGTCTCTTCTAACCAGTTTGTAATGGAATCATTTACTTGATTCCCCAAGATGGGCTCTTTTACTTTGCTGCGTGTCCCTAACTTCTCCAACCCCGATTTTAACACAAGCGCATTGGCTGTGTGATATAACTTGCTGAGGTAGAATTTTCATGTGTTCGTTCTTTGCTATTTTGTAACCGGTGGGCATTCCTCAGTCTGCTGAAAGTCAAAAGCTTTACATTTGAAATGTAAACGGAGAGGCAGTTTGTCCTTCTAGAAGGACACCAATGTTTTCTTTATCCTCCAACAAAAGCTGCTGCCGCGGCTACTTATTAGCATCCCGTTGAAGTAAAAAAAGGGGTATTGAACAATGATACATCCCTTGAACATTTTCACACCAGCAGGTCGAAAACCTCTCCACAAGCCAGGTACGGTTCACACCGAGCTCTCGTCGGGTTTACTACACAGTTGCGTGTGCTTCCTCTTCTCCAGGATCCTGTTGAGCTCCTCCGTGAAGGAGTAATAGAGCGGAGACGTGGTATCTCCATCCGTCTGTCTCAGCAACACATAGCTGTTGCCATTCATCTTGCGTAAGACGCTGGGTAGAGTGGCAGAGAGTCCATTGACGTACTCTGATTCTGAAGGCGGTGGGAGAGGTGGAGCGGGAGGAAGCTCTTTGTTGGGTGACGTTGCCGCTTCTCCGGGAACAATCTGAAGCAGGCCGTCGTGAGCGTCGGCTTTCCCGTTGCAGTGGCTGGAGATGGTCTTGAGCTCCATGTGAGCACCTCGCTTCTTTTCGGCATGGGCAGCGGCCCGCAAAGAGTATTTACCTCTCCGCCCTTGCAAACAGAATCCCACGTACAGCAGGACGACGGTTAGAACGAAACAAAGGCCTCCTAGGATTGTGATTAGGGAGAGGTACATGGCCTCCATGTTCCTCATGGACAGGAACTCGAAGCGAGGGGACATTGGGGTTGGATTGAAGTCCTCTGGGGAGTCACTTTGGGAAGTCTGAAAGGTCCAGTAGATCGCTGTGGTCAAGTGTGGCTGCGTCGGCTCCACAGGAGGAGGTGCAGGAAGCTCCTGGCGAACTGTTAAGCTGTAGTTCACCACAGGAACATGGACACTGTTTTCCAGGGCGAAGCAGCAGTAGTGGCCGCTCTGGTAAGACCGTGCCTCGATGACCAGGAGGCCGTCAGTGCCGACGCGGTAGCCAGAGTCCAGCCCGTAACCCTGCAGTTTCTTTCCATCCAGCGTCCACTCAGGGGTTGCCAGATTGGAGCTGAGCTCGCACTGAAGCAGCACGTCATCACCCGCCATCACAGAGCGAGAGCGGTGTAACACTTGGTCTATGACACACACACACCAGTTACAGGGATGTTAGTCATTCAGGGTTACTTGGCTTGATTATATCACTGCAGTAATGGTAACCTGTAACCTTAGATATTGGCGAATATCCACTTCATCCCATCCCACCTTATCTGACAAATATAATTTGCTAACTGAGGAATAAGAAGACAAACTGACTACACTGATTTGGAAAGCAACAATCACAGTGTTTTTATTGTTGACTAAAACTATTAAAATAGTTTTCATTAACTGAAAACAAAAATATTGAAAAATAAAAAAAATAAAACTAAATTACAAATCTTGCTTTATTTTCCTTTTTTTAAGAAAACAAAAACCAATAACAAAGACAATAGTGAAATTAAAACGAAAACTTAGAATATAAAAAATAATGCTCATTCAAAATATTAATAAATACCATAATAGTATATAAATAATACTAAAATAACACCGAATCACCAGCTTAACACTGACTAATACAACAAATGTTTTTCATACCATCTGCTGTGGATTCTTCACAGCCCTGGTTTCCATTCACAATATCCTGGGTCAGATTAGCTCTGTAAATAATGAGAGGTTTTTATTTGGGACACACTAACATTAGAATTTTGACCAATACTAATTATTTTCATATTATGGCCGGTCACCGATAAATGTGTGATTATCTAAACGAAAAAAAAAAATTAATACTATAAACAGAGATTTTTAATGCTACAAATGAATAGGTATCCCATCAATATAATGTACAGCATGAAAAAAAAATATTTTACTTCAGGTAAATGAGCGTTAGATGACAGGAAAGGTAAACTAAATGTAAAAACTAAAAATAGGAGAAAGGAGCATGCTCAATGAACATGAATATGATCAATGAACAACTAATATGGTTCATATTGTGCGTTACTAATGTTTCATTGACAAAGTTCACCAACTCTGGCCTTTTCCAATACGCATTACATGTTCCATGTCATGCATAACAAAATTAAGCTGTCCTTATTAACAGAGTACTTGCATTGAGATATGATGTCAATCACAATCGCACATTTTCATCCAGTTAATTAAATAGTTAACAAGGACAGAAGAGGTACTACTGTAGTATTTATGACCATGCATTCGTACCTGCTGTTGTGTGATGTAATGTCCACACACTCCAGTCCATCCCAGCCACAGAAAGGATCACGTGCCATCACGCAGTCGAAGCACGAGGAGTATCTGCTGCATGTGGACAAGGGCAACTGCACCACTGAGCTGGGCGAACCCACATACACACTCATCTGACAAAGAAAGGTTCAAGTGGGTAGTAAGATTCACATTGTGGGCTGTGCATAAATCAAATTACGCCCATATAAATTTAAACAGGATGTAATGGGCTCGTGAACTTTATAATGGGAACAACCTGTTGTAATAATGTATTTACAACTTCCAGAATGTAAACACTTATTTCTCACCTGTTTCTCAGAGATGACTATACTGTCCACTGGCTGGGGCTCCTCGAACAACTGCAGCTCCTCAATGATGTGCAGCTGACCATTAACCATCACAGCCCGCTGTAACCAACCTTCATCTGGAGGAACATCGAAACCAGATGAAAGACATTCCAGTGTCACACTTTTATATCAGATAAATGATTTAATACTTTAATAAAAAGTGTTATAGAAAGCAAAGAAGACTTTTTTTGGGGCTTCACTGAACATATTCTTTAATTTTACCACTACAGATTATGTTTTATTTGGACCTGCACAACCCTGCTGATCAAAAAAAAACTCAAATTACTTGCCAGGTTTTTGATAGACGAGAGCTAAATGGAGGTCACTGCAGTACCTGTCCCAATGAAGAGTATGTGGTATATCTGACCATCTAGAGCAGTCACTTTGTGAACGGCAATTTTAGTGTAGTCCACATTCCTCCTAAACAGCAGGGGGCGCTGTCCTTGAGGAAGGATTTGCCTGTACATGAGCGGATGGCGGCGGACAAAATGAAGTACGTCATCTGGCAGGTTGGTGGATGAGTTGATGCCTCTTGCTCTAAGTTGATCTGTGATGCACTGAAGAGAAATAAAGCACAAGTGAGGTAAAGTCACCTTCCAACAATACATGCAGCCCGTCCTAGGAAAATGTACCTCTTTACCATTTATTAAAATATCATTACAAATGTGTCAATGATTTAGTAAGCATTTGCATAGTTGTGCTAGGAGTTAGGTCAATTGTTTTATTTGTGATAACACAATAACGCCCTTATATTTAAACTATAAAAAATTAGTTTGTAATATTTTCCTTATATTTTGATGATTTAAAGGTAGTTTCCAGCTTTCCATGTTTTCACTGTTATACGGTAGGGTAGGGGACGCTATTATGTATCTTCCTAAAGACTGATCACTTGATCAAAACACTGGCGAAACATGTAAAATAACGCAACCATCAACCACATATAAATCAAAACTGATGTCTAACGTTACTGAATGAAATGCTGACCCAGGACGAGCTATAGGACTGAGCAAGGTTTCGGGGTGTTGATGGACTCGATCTACTCCATTTATGTTTTGATAATCATTCTGAATCCAATCCAGACATAGTCTATGCCGATCCAGACATACTCTAAGCTCAAAATGTTGCTTTTTTATTTTCAATTGCTTATAATAAAAAGAATATATGCAGCTGGAATAAAAAAGTGTTTATGTTTAAAAGCAGATCGAGGGTCTGTTCTTTGTTGTGATGTATTGCATGTTCAGATATTCTTACAACAAAATATTCTGAGGGCCATGAAACTTTTTGGCGATGATTGGCAACTTTTTTCAAAAACACTGGCTGGAAAAGAGTTAAAAACAAATATCACATTTGGCCATTACAGTATGCAGACATATTTTCACAGCCTTGAAAGGCTTGCAGACACAAACAAAGCAGCATCTGAAATGATCCCTTCTTCTTGCTCAGTGGGATTACCAACTCATTTCCAAGAACCCATCGAGAATGTAGGACATTCAGCTATTCTCAGACTCTTGACTGAAAATTGACAATTTAACAGTCATTTTAATTATCTGACAGAAATTGCTAAGATGTCACAAACAAAATCTTACAGCAAACGCTCCTTTTCCAAAAACCTAAAATAGACCAGGGAAAACCAAAATTGTTGTTTCCTTTACATTTCTGAAAACTTCCAAACATCAATTAAAGGTGCAATATCCACCCTCACTCGCATTCAGACTCACTCATTAGAAATATCACAGATTCAAAAATCATAATGCAGCCAATCAGCAAACGATTTTCTGCCTGCTGCTAATCTCCACGGCAAAAGCTTTGATGAAATAAACCCCTTTTCTCCATGTGCACTCTATAAAATTGCTCATCAGCGTCTGATTTCGGAATGAAACTAGATCGACGCTCTACCTGTACCTTGCACAGCGGTTAGAGAGCTTTAGTATCTCCACCTGTGAAGTGCTGACTTGTGCTTCCCCATCAGAGTCAGCAGGCAGGCAGGCAGGCAGAGTTTCAGGGGTGAGGATAATCAGGCCAGTGTAAGATGAAACAGGGGATCAGTATAGCTGTAATCCTGCATAGGCCTTACCGAGCCGGGTCGAGGTTCTGGCACTTTCCCTGTGTACTGTGCCCATTTAGAGCTGGAGTCTTCGTTGCTCTCCATGTAAGGCCCATCAAAGGCCCATTGGATATCCGAAATGGAGTACCGGCAGATAGCAGATGCTTTTACATATTTCCTGAAAAAAAAAAGCTCTGGTGAGTATTCTTTCAAAGCAGTACAAAGGAGAGAAATCCAACACTACAAGATATCAGGTAAAACCCTGAACCACCGCTGGGACTATGAACACCCACACTCAGCCATTTCTTCAGGATATATTTCAAGGGAGCACAAAGAAAATTAGTGAATAGAATGTGCATTCATGAAAGTGGTGAATCAGCCTAGGTGTGTGAGCGCTTTGTAGCTGATCCCGTTTCCCGTTTGTACACTTGGGTTTATTAACCGAAGAGCCTCTCAGCTTGTGCTGCGCTCATTGTTTCTCAAGGTCTCGGCATGTCAGCATAGAACCCTCATAAGCCCACTGTGTAACCATGGAAACAAGAAAAATAGATTACAAATTTATTAAAAAGTGTGTGAGAGAAGTGAGGGATGACAGTGAGTGGGTGAAGGGGTGGGGGGGTGTTTGACAGGAACATAGACAAAGCTCCTCAAGTGATCAGTGTAAACCTATTGAGAAAAAGAGGAAGGGGCTGTGGGTTAAAAAAAAACAGCACTGGAGGGAAAAGTGTTCCTAATAGTAGCTTAATGGGATACTTCATTTAGAAATTACAGATCTGTCAATCTTTTCACCCAGTGTCATTTAAAAACCCATATGAGTTTGTTTGTCCATGGAACACTCTTTATTAAGAACAAGCAAATAAACAAATCAATAACAATGTCAAATCTTATTACAAACTTACAGTGCTCATCCTAGATTGAGAAAAGAAAAAAAAAATCTTAAATGAACAAAAGAACATAGGGCATGTTATGGCAAAAATGACAATTACATATTCAAAGAAATTAAAATAAAAAGGCATTTATTCAATAAGATTGTATACAAAAGAAGCAAGTTTCTCAGCATTCTTGTTATTAACCAATAACAAAGAGTTATAAAAAAGATTCACCTCATTTCTCCAATGAGCAATGTTAGGAATTATCTTGTAAAAACGACATTTATGAATGAAATGTTTACTTAAAAGAATTATGTTGTTAATGGCAAAATCATTGTGATCATTACGAAAAATACCGAATTTTATATTATTATTGTATCATCAGGGTCACGCTACTTAGCGATTTTTAGCGAAATTTCAAGATTGTCTTGAGAGATCAATGGGTTTATTTGATATATGATTTCGAAGACTGAATGTCTATAAAACTGAATATAGCACGTAAATCTACCTTTATGGAGCCTGAGTCCACAAAAAAAAAATCCAAGGGTGGCCAATCCTTTTCCTGGAGATTGATTTTCCTTCAAAGTTCAGATCCCACCCTGATCAAACACAACTGAACCAGCTAAATAAGTTTACAATATAATTACAGACAGGTGAGTTGTCAGGGTTGGATCTGAACTCTGCACAAATATAGATCTCCAGGAACAGGATTGGAAACCCATGATGTAATCAATGAAAATGTTTCATTTATGGGGGAACTATCCCTTTAAGAGAAAAGGTCTTTTACTGGAGATTCCATGTCTGATTCAGACTTGCCTAATGCTCAGGAAAACAAACACCCATGTCAATGTAAACTTTACACCCAAACTGATGATATGGTGACACATCAGTCGTTCAACCTTACCCTGCCAGAGGTCAGTGTGATCAGCTCAGCTGACACACTCATTCTCATTTTATATATCTGTCCTTGTTTTGCTCACTCTTCTTCTGCTTCCTAATTATTTTCTAGAGTGGCAGTAGCAGACATTATAGTTCATCCAGTGCTGTCATTCATCACTGTTACTCATATGTTTGCGGTTTGCACCTCAGGCAGCTCATCAGAACCTCCCCTCTGGTTTCAGCAGGGCGTCAAAACTGTCATGTCAGTCACAACGGCAGACGTAACGCGCGTGTGACCTGACCTATGTGCTATAACCAGTTTAGCACTGAAAATAGTTGTGAAAGGAAAATTCTTTACTCTCGTGCTGACAAAAATAGAAATGTGGACCTTAAGCTTCAAAGAACAACTTTTAGGATTGTTCAGTCAGTTTTATCAATATTGAGTCAAAGCCTGGCTATACGTGTCCCAAGCAAATTTTCTGATCTCTTCAGAGATTGTGATCTGCTTATGAATAAAACATGCGTTGTGCTGCAGGCAGTCAGAGGACACGTCATGTCAGCGATTTTCATTCCGATGATCCTGGTGGACTGTAAATGCTGTCACCTCACTTGATGTATATGGCCAGAATGAGCCAAAGCAAAGCCTAGGTCCAGGCTGATAGATGAACTTACTAATAGACTAAATCTATTTCAACAAACTCAACAGTCACAGCAAAATGACACGATGCCACCTCGGAGAATCCTTTAATCATTCTCGACTGTGGCGTCATTTGCATGCATGTACGGCAACACACTTTAAGCTTCCATACACAACTGCCAGGATCATTTAAGAAAGATGGTTTGCTTTAATTTAAGAGTTCAAGAGCTTGAACCCACTTGCAGATCACTAAGATCCAGTCTTTCTGAAGAAGTGGCGTTCATCACGACAAATAACAAATGTTATGGACATAAAAACACAATTGCAAGTAAATGAATAGCCCATTCTGTGAAAGACGGATATTGAAGGATTGTACAAGTGATCTTACCATTCCAGGCCAAAGATGCCATAGAAAACAGAGTCCTGAGAGCTGGAGCCCTTCAGAAAAAACACACTCCGCAACACGTTGAAGTGAAATTCGTAGTCCGGTAACGAACACGCCAGACGTGCCTTCAGGAAGGAGGTCCACTTCTTCTGCAGCGTGAGAAGACCTCCTCTGTCTTTCTACAAGATGAAGAACAGAAAACAGCTGAGGGAAAATCATAAGACGCAACAGCAGATTCCAGAAGGTATGCGGGCGCTACCATTCAAAAGTTCGACACTAAAGAATGGCTGCTGAAAATTCAACTTTGCCACCACAGGGATAAATTACATTATAAAATATATGAAAATAGAAAAAAGACATTTTAAATATTACTACTGTTTAAATGTTTTTTTAATCAAATAAATGCATCCTTGGGGACTTCTTTCCATCCCTAAACTTTTGAAAGAGGGTCTACATTTAACATGTATTCATGAAGCATATGAAGCCACTTACAAATAAAAGTAAACCGTAAACGTAAACACAATAAAAATCATTTTCATTAGGCACACCTAATGACATTATAAAAAATACCTTTAGAATTTAACACTATTAGAAAAACAAGTGCGTTGTGAAAACAGCTGAAGAAATCACTGGTTATTGGCATGGCTTTTGGAAGCTAACATTATTGTCAGTGTGACTGTGGGAAAAGGAAATGCACTAAATTAGATGGGGGGGAGTTGCATGTAAAGGAATCCCCCATCATGTCAGGGGGATAAAGTGAATTTTCCATGCTGCCTGCAAAAAGGAAAATAAATCTTCATGGAGGAATGACTTTGACGGGACCCAAAGCTTCTTAGCAATTCTTGGTTTCTCCAGTACTTAGTTTTCAGTAATGTAATGACCTTTAATTCACTGTGAGAAAAAAAGGCTTTTGACTGTTGATTCATGATGCCATCTACTCAACTGGTGATATTCAGAAGCAAATGTATGATGATATGAAACCGTAACACGAAACTTTTTACAATAACCCACTGCAGATATTTTTGGAGATTTAAAAATTTCTAGCCTATGCAGAACCTGATTTCGCCAAGTACATATTCCTGGAAAAACAGATCCTGGAAATTTAGGCTTACAATCAGGGTTAGGTGTTTCTACATCAGTGTCATTCGCCTATAGTTTCCCTCTAATTTTAGGGATAAGTTATGGATACAGAATTTTCAAACAGGAATATGTTGACCCAGGGACTCAAAATAAGGATGTGCCTATATAGCAGACACCATTATGAAGAAACTCAACGCTTTTATTGAGACTTTTTACAGATAGTTACTCACAACAACTGAGTTACTATCCTTATTTATGGCTTTCCCCTCAGCTCAATGTCAGTTAGTGTGTATTAACAGCACTCAGCCCCACAAGCATGTGGATAATGAACAATAATCTACTCATTAATGTGACCCTGCTGTGTGAACTGCAACAGAGAACTGCTTTTACCCTCAATCCTCAGCCTGCTTAACACACTTCACCAGCCCCGGACTCAACCCACTTGAATACAGTGTAATTCAGTCCATGTTATCTAAGCTACTATTATGTACACTATTGTTCACAAGTCAATACGATTTCATTTATTCATTTAGAAATAAATTAATAGTTTTATTCAGCAAGGACACTAAATTGGTCAAAATTGACAGTATGTGACATTTATGATGATCTGTTCTTTTGAACTTTCTGTTCATCAAAAAATCCTGAAAACATTTTTCCACAAAAATATTAACAGTGTTCAATCTTCAAATGTTACTGTTTTTTTTTTCATCAAATAAATGTAGCCTCGATGAGCATATGGGACCTTTTTCAAAAACAATCCTCAAACATATAAATGACAGAGCAGGTTATTTGGGTAAACGCTGATATGAATGACAGCTGCTAGTAGTTTGCTGGTGGATACTTTGCAAAAATGCATCACAGCTGGGAATCAGAGGCAATTGTAAAATAAAAAACTGTATGACTGATTTAAAAACTAAAAAAAAAGAGAGTGATTATTTCATTAAAGTATACAATTATAGACTTATGTTGGATATTTAGTGTACTCTATATGATATGTAGTAGCCTATATTATCATAAAAAGGGTTTAACCCATTTTAAAGAAAAGTTGAATTCACATGCATCCTCATAAAGAAAAATGCAACTTAATTCTGTGTGTGGTAATGTCTAATTTCACAATACTGTCAGCTGAACCCAAATACACTCCCAATTTATAATCTCCTTTGCTAAAACCTAGATGTTAGACAGCTAGATCGGATGGTAAATAAACACCGTAGAGTAGCAGTCTTGAAAAGATGTGAAATTGCAGACATGTTCAATTGGCACTTTGATCTGAATGTGTAGAGCTAGACTGATGGGTTGAGAAGCGAGACAGAGAGGCGAGTCTCGTGGGAAGGAAGCCATCGGAAAGAGAGAGAGAAAGAAATGCCTGGCAACCACACTGCTGTAAAACCCTATTAGAAAACCTGTAGAAAACCACACTTCAAATAAATTTTGAAGACAGAACCCTTACAATGCTGTGAATGAAACAGTTTAGCACTTAAAAACACATTTGTGAAGAACTTTTGTGTATGTGTGTTATTTTTCAGGTAAAGGCAATGTATGTCTCTGAACAAATTAAATGAGGGGACCATGCATTATCATTATTTTGTGGAGAGAATAAAACATTTGTTCCATCCCCTGTGGAAGAGACCATTTTTGTTCCACTTTACTATGCAAAGCATATTTACCACACTCTGGATTTACACCTACTATTTTTAAGAATTCAATTAAATGATTTAATTTAGAGTCACATGACAAAGAAAAGGTACAGTGACAGATGGAGTGATGAGATGCTCTGTAGTCTCGTACCTTGCACACACGTGCGACCCGTGCTACTCTGCTGTGACTGAAGTATGGACTGAGTTCTTGGGTCTTCTCGGTGAAGAAGAAGTAAATCTTATCATCGTCTCCCACTGAGCTGCTCACGCTCTCATTCACCAGCGCTGAGCCCACAAAATCAGCTTCTGTGTGGGATATGAGAGTAGATTGCTGTTAGTACATCACTCCACAATACTGACAAGTGAAATGCAATACTGCACATTAAAATGCTTAGTTAAAAGTAAATACCTTTTTTATTATTATAAAGTAACTACATTACCATTCAACTTCTTTTTATTGTGTTCAAAGACGTCTCTTATGGTCACAAAGGTTGCATTTATATGATCAAAAATACAGTACAAACAGTCGTATTGTGAGATATTATTAAGAGTTTTAAATAAGCGTTTTCTGTTTAACGTATTTTAAAAGTTATTCCTGTGATGCAAAGCTGAATTTTCAACATCATTACTCCTTCAGTGTCACATGATCCTTCAAAAATCAGACTAATTTGATGATAAAGATTTTTTTTATTATTAATATATTGAAAACAGTTGTACTGATTAATATTTTTTTTCTGAGAACCAAAATTTATTAGAAAAATAAATCTTTTAGAACATTATAAATGTCTTTGCTGTTACTTTTGATCAATTTAATGCATCCTTGCTGAATATAAGTATTAATTCCTTTTAAATTAAATTTAGTTTTGAATGATAGTCTGTTGTGGCGAGCAGGACGAGGAGAGGGTCGTGACTTCTGTTTTATTATATGTGTCAGCAGTTGTCTGTGAGGGACTGCTGCCTTTACTTTCGTTTTGTATTTGTTTATTTTATTAAAAGGTTGTATTTAATTTATTATTAAATACAAATAATTAAATTATTTGTATTAAATTATTTTATTAAATTTTATTCCTTCTTCCCACATCCCAACATCTAACCTTGCTACATCTATATAATATATGATTATATTATATTTGCATTTAAAATTTTATTTTTTACTTTTCTAGAACCAAGTATTTTCCTAGTTTTACATTTTTAAAATCATTCTTACAACGTATTATTTCCCAGGTTAAATGGTGGACTCAGACTTGTGGACGCCACTGTACTGTTAAATGTCCAAATATTATTAACCTACTATGACTTGAGAGATACAAACATACGGTAATGTTGACGGTGAGGGATGAAATATTTTGCAAATAAAATGTGCTGCAGCAGACCCACCCTGTAGCCATTGAGTTGGAGCCTCTTCTGTTTTCAATGTGGGATTCGGAGAGTTGCGTCGGATATCTGGAAAGCTCCGGAACTCATACTGAGATGCTGTGTACATCTGCTGATCTAAGGGAAACAGAGGGCCAAAATATAGCTCAAGAAAGAAATATAGCTTAAAAAGATTTTAATGTTATTAATATTCAAGGACGAAATGTATTTTGCTCATTTATTGATGCCTTACCAATTAACAAGCCAGTGTAGCCTTTGGTAGGGTCATATGGACATTTCTCTCTACCCTCCTCGAAGGCTGACGAGATTTTAAACTCCCTCGCATCCTGAAAAACGCAACAAAATTGTTTAGACAATCCTAAATGTGAAGTAAGAGTTCTGGGTGTTAAGAGACTTAAAATGTAGCCATTACAGTTACTTACTATGTATGCACAAAGAGGGCTGAACGCATGTGTACCACAAGTGTACAAGTGTGTGCTGTTGAACCTCTGCAGGAATCGTATGTGGTTGTAACACTCCGTCTGTTAGGATGAGGAACTCTACATCAGTATGTTTACTAGAGATGAGAACACAATGGATGGAGATCTTGACTAACCTTGTTATCTTTCCCTTTGTTCAAGCATTGTTGCCTCTGCTCGTCTGATGCCTCCCAGTCAATCTGTCCAAGTAAAAGATTAACAAGAATTCTTGAAATGTCAAGACTTGTAAAGATGTTTTCCTGGCAAAACAACTTCCTGCTCTAGGTTGCAGTGCCAAATTGTACTACTGGATGTTTTCAAACGACTCTGTGCATTAGTTGGAAGTGGAACACAGTGAAACAAAATTCTCAGGAGGAATGAATTTACAAATTATAAAAAAGTGGTCTCTGGTGATCTTTAAAAGCATTTTGTAAGTTTTAAAGAGACAGTCCACGCAAAAAAATTAAAATGTTAGTAACTAAACAGTTTTGGTTCCCATTGTATGGACAAAAACTGCAATGTGGTCACCAAACTGTTTGGTCATTAACATTCTTTAAAATATCTTCTTTTGTGTTTCAAAAAAGAAAGAAAAGTTATACAGGTTAGGAACAACATGAGGGTAAGTAACTATCCCTTTAAGTTTAGGATACTGCAACACATAATTTGACTTCTGTTCTCCTTGGCAGTGCTCGTGCACCAATATTATGTTAAAAAAAATTGTGTGCAGATAAAAAAAAATAAAGAATACATAAATGTATTAGCCCTATTACAGCATGAAATATTTAAACCTATAACATTTTTATTTCATAATTCTGACTTTTTTCTTGCGAATTTATATATCAATTCTGAGAAGGAAATACTTAGAATTGTGGGATATAAACTCGCTCTTCAGAAGCAGAATATTGAGATTGTATCTTGCAATTCTGATTTTTCTTCTCAGAACTGTAAGATATAATGGCAACACTTTACTTGAAGGGGTGTCATCATGACATGACATATGTTATGAATATGAAGGAAGTTTTATGCATGTTTATGACAACTGTCATTAAGTGTCATTTGCTCAATTATGACTTTTTAATGTTAATATGACATTGTTTGAGATGTCTGTGTTACGACACCTTGACATAAACCAATAGCTACATCATAACCTGTCAGTGTCTTTGTCATGACAACTTGACATTACTGAGACAACAGCCTGTCATAAACATGACATAGCAGGTTAATAATCAAACTTAAGAAACCACCTAGCTTTATTGGTTAACATTACCTTAAACTGTCAGGTGGTTAGTTTTGACATTGGCTGTCATGAAGCCATTATAACTTTTTAATGACAAATTCAATTAGTACCACTTTAGTTGAGGTCACAAAAAAATATTCATGACACAGTTATGACAGCCAATGTCAAAGCCAACCACATGACAGTTTAACTTCATTTTATGTCAAGTTGTTATGACAAAGACACTGACAGGTTATGATGTTATGGTTTATGTCAAGATGTCATAACAAAGACATCTTAAACAATGCCATATTTGCATTCAACATGTCATTATTGAGCAAAGACACTTAATGACAGTTGTCATAAACCCAACATCATATTCAAGACATAAGTCATGTCATGGTTATGAAGGTGTCATGTTAGTCTTATGCACACCCCTTCAAGTAAAGCGTTACCGATATAATTGCAAGGAATTTCACCCAAAAGGTTTATGGAGTTTAATTTGAATAATTTTCATTACTTTTCCATGTCTAGAAGGTCAAGACATATCCAGCTTTTTTTTTTCTTTTTTTTTTTTTGAGGGGTTGAATTAAAATAAGAAGCATCTTGATTTTTGTCTTGAATTTGAATACGGTAAATCATTTAAGTCATCTTGAGGCCCCCTGGTTGAGAACCACTGTTAAAGAAGGTGGTCTTTGACAAAGCATCAACTTAATATACTTTTAAAAAATACATCTCATGATGTGCATTTTGATCCATATCATGTATGAAAGGCCACTAGCAATGTACATTACCAGGAGATTTTCAAATTTCTACACTTCTAGAAAAGTATAAAGTTTGCAAAAACCAAAAATAGATGGCAACACTGAAATGATTCACATAATGTTTGAATGCAGTCTGCATCTTAATCAGTTTCAATGAATTAATTACAGAATATTTTAGTGGGGAAGAGGAATAAAAATAGGATATTTCAGGAATATCAATACAGTTCTGGCTGGCAAGCTCTGTAATGAAGTGCTGATGTGTTTTGTGGGTACGTACGGTCAGCGGAGAGCTGCTGGAGATGTCACTAGCCTGCAGGGCATATAAAGCCCCTCTAGCTCCCACGTACAACACGCCTGTCTCCTCCTCCAGCAGCAATAAACTGTAGTTCAGTGTTAAGCCTTGGAAGCGCTTGCAGCCCAACAGCCCTGGAACACACAGGACATACCAGTTAAAGAAATATTTTATCCATAAAAGGGATCTGTAAACACTTCAGTAAGATCTGTGGGTGCTTGGTGTTGAGAAGACAAGCTGTTTCCTCTGTCAGTGAGTCCATGTTCGACTTATTGGCATTCAACTTCATCTTTAATTAATCTTGAGGGATGCATGCTGTGGATACTGTGTGCGTGTGTCCATTATTCACAAATGAACATAACACCAGTTAAGACACCACTATTAGCTAAAGACAATCACTCATTCCATAAGTGTAGGAGGCAGAACGCCCTTTTAACATAAAGGTGAGGTAATACACACACATTCCTGGTTCCTTGTTTGCACAACTGCTTGTTGCGTATCGCACTACTGTGATGATGTGTTCACGACACGTGGTGTTCGATATGTGCACTGCAAAAATAACCCCACATGCTGTAGACAGAGCATCAACACGCAGGACACACATCTCATTGGTGTGTAGGCAGCAGCTCTGCATGCAGGGACAGGACAGGTTATGCAGCGCAGCCAGATTTGGCAGACGACCCAGAGCATTACAATGACAGCAGAGCTGACAAATACAGCTATGGAGAGAAAGATGGGAGCCGGCCACAGGCACGGCGTAAGAGAGACAGACGGAAGTGTAGATGCACAGAGAAGAGAGGCTAATTAAGGTGCCCTGTGACTCCCTGCTGACATAGCACTGCTGTATTTCGCTAACATGCAGAATAGTCCTGCTCACGCACACATGCTCAATACACTTAATTAAACTTCTCTCTAATGCTTAAGCTGTCCCATTCATTCACTCTTCTGTTTTTGTGTCTGGTTGTGTAGGTTGATTGTGGTAGAAATTATAATCTAACATCAAACAAACTAATTATAGTATTAACAACCGAAACTTCATCAACATTCAAACCATGATAACTATTCTATAATATTAATAATAACTCCAATTTTGTGAGAATAGGGAAGTCCGCACCACAGCGATGATTACTCAGAGGACTGACTTTGAAGCGTTTGAGCATTTAACCCTAAAACCGTATTCTGGACAAATGTGGGGAAAATAGTTTTAATTTATTTTTAAAAAATACTTCCCTTGATTCTGAGCGGTACAAGACTAGGCTACTTTTCCTAAGTTTGCCTCCTGAACACACACACATTTTTTTGACTCAATTCTACAATGTTAAGTGGGTGAAAAAAAAAATAAAACTACATAGTAATTAATTTACATAGAAACAATTTACATAGAAAATATGGTACTTTTTGAAGTAAATAAATTCAAAAATACCCCCAAAATAAAAAAAAACACCATAAATGGATAGACAAAACTTTATCGAAGACAGTGATATAACATTTATAATAAAAATTAGGATCACACCTGAGTCCTCTGTGCCCACATTTGTCCACAATTACAGGATTAAGGGCTATAAAGTGAATACGGTTTGAGGGTCAAAGTGACAACATAACAGCAGAATGTTTATTTTGTTTACTTCTGAAACCGTCCAAAAAAAATTTTGCGATTATTTTTGCAGCGTCTTTACTTTTCTACCTCTAATCACCATGGACCTCCCCACTGTCCAGCTTTTATGTCTGGAGAAGAAAGCCCCCTCCCTGGAACCAAATACCAGGGACTTTTTGGAGTTGGCGTGCCAAACGCACGTTCCAGACCGCTTGCTATGCGTGTTTTACCTCTCGAGTGGTCCAGGGCACGCCTTCCAAGGGGCGGTCCCAGTCATAACTTCATTGCATGAGTAGAGTGGGTACTGGTGATGAACATTACCTTGGCATTCAGCATCCGCCCAGCGAAAGAAACAAGTCCTACTCCAGAACCAGAGGTCAGGGAGCTACAGCTGAACTCCACCGGCCCGAAGCCTGTGCCCATCAACACGTCTGACCAGGTGCACGAGGTACAACAACGCCCGTCCCCGAGGGAGTACTAGTGGAGCTTGTGGACTTGAATGGAAGCCCCACCCAGCCTAGAGGTAATTTGGGGGATTTATTTGAGGAAGTGATACCCTTATACCTTCCACTACCACTGTTTCCGCCCAGCATCTCTCTCCTCTACCAAATCCAGCCAATTCATCAGCCCTTCCTCCGCTGATCCCTGGGAGTCCTTCATCTCATCCACAGTTCCATCTCATCCATCTCTGCTCTTCCAGTCCCGAGCTCCACCTCATGAGCTCCACCCTGTCTCCGTCTCCAGCCACAGAGCCCTGGACTCCACCAGCTCAATGATCCCTCAGATTAATTTCACTCTCTATAGAAGTCAGGTTTTCCTAATTCAAGGGCTGTACTTTGTATTCATAAACAGCATTATGAATATAGCCACCGATTTTGACAATACTAACCAGACACAATTTTACCCGACAAGATTCACCAGGGGTGAATGACAAATAAAAAATAAAAAATACAAAAAACATAACTCAAGCATTTCTTTGAATATTGTTCCCTTCAATGCCTATAGTCCTTATGGTCTTGCTTCAAAACTCTGCTTCAGCCGAACAGTCATAGAATTATCAAATAATGATTAGTGGGCCAAGAGGTCATGAGACTGGAAGATTTAATTTATCAAACCAATTTCTTAAACCTTAAGAAAAGCTATGAGTCTAATCTGCTGGCACGAAGTTAAATAGCAGAATGATCCACTTTGTGGTCTTTTCCAATTGCTGTCATCTCTCCTTTTAATATCTTCACCCTCCACCCCCATAACAGAGCCAACAATGTTAAAAGAACAGATTGATTCACTCAGACATTCACTATCAGATCACAAAATGTGTTTCCCACAGTCCTCCAGGATATTATATCGCAACTCTTCAGTGTTAGCCCTGAGAAGCATAATGGCAACCTCAAACCCACAGAGCCCAACTGGGCTGAGACTTGCACAAATCATTAGTGTAGCAATGTAAAAGATGTCTGGTCACAAAACGTATTACACATATTGAACGTAGTCATACTGACAGACACATCACATGTAGGTTGTACTTTGCAACCAGATTCAACGCAAACAGAAGTTTTACAAATTACAAGCCAAGGTTATTCAAACACAAGCAAGGATTACGTGATCACAGCACAGAGACCTCCACAATATTCCCGCGCTGGAGTGAGCAGAGTGGCTTTGAACTTCAAACAAATGTCAAGAGATGGGTAAAAATTGCACCGGCCCAGCATAAAGCAACAACTTTCCTAACCAGACCAGAAAACCTGACTGACAGCAGTCTACAGGCCTACTATTACGCAGATACAAACCACACAAGTGCTTGTCATTTTCAGGCACATGGTAATGCAGAGTGGAGGAACACTATTATTTCCCCAAACCGGAATTACTTGTTTTCCTAAATGCTTGAAAAGAGCGTCTCAAGATTTTAAAGCTGTACAAATGGTTGTCTGTTCAACATGGTCATGAGATCTTACAAGGAACTGATGGAGATCATTGAAACATTGGCAAATTAAACAGACAGACAATGAGTTTATTCAGTGGGAATGAGTTTTGGCTTCAACCTCCATAAAGTTCTCAAACATAAAGTTTGGGATTATCAGTGTAGCTCTTACTTATAAACTTATGTACTCATAAACAGTGTTTTCCTTGAAAAAGTAAAGTAAGGGACTATTCTTAACCTTTCTCTTATTTGATTACAGTCTGATGTAATTTAAATAGTATACATACCGTATAGAACAACAAAAAATAGTGGATTTAACATCAAAATTTAAAATTTTTAATGTAACCTTCACCCTTTAAATACTGTCCAATAATAATTTATGCAATTTTATATTATACTTATTTGAAAGAATTAAAAGAGCAGTTTCATGCATTGTTGAACTGGTGGAGGTTGATATGGGAGTTAGAAAGTAATTAGTAATAAGTGCAATATTTTTTAGAGAGAGTAATTAGTTCAGCAATCTAATTACACTTTTGAAGATGTAATAATAGCTAATTAATTACCTTTTTATACCTAACACTGCTTATAAATCCATTTTTTATGATATATTTTTGGACATGAGACCATGCTAATATTATTGTTTTATACAGAAATACAATGGTAATGTTTTGGTTCTTAACCCAATAAAAAAATCCCATATTGTTCCCATAACAACTTTGTTAAAAATCTACAATTTATCGCTAAATTGTGTAAATGAATGCCAACTACCAAGAATACTGCGAAATACTTTATTTTACTGTGTCCATGTTACGTGTTTCATGTACTTACTAGTAATAACAGTAAATTATGCATAATTACACGCAACTTACCCTCAACCAAACCCTAATCTTATCCTAAACCTAAAGTGCCTTAAGTTGTTAATTAAGATTACTCAGTACTTAAATATTTTTTATAATATATGTGTAAATATATATCACACTATAACACTAGCTTTAACAATGCTTACACAGTAGATATTAGTCATAAAAGTAGCACCCCCTATTTTCAGAAAATTATATACTTATCAGAAATTATAATTAAATAGACCAAACAAACATACTAAATACATAATACAGACTTAACAACTCTAAAAACATAAAAGAGTCTGTTTGATGTGGTGAAACGGATAATGTTACAACTCCCCAACATCTACATACACAGGAATATGAATCATTCAATACCATGGTATAACCGTTTGAAGTTATTGTTCAATCAAACCACCTTAGCAAATATTTTTAAGAATGTTCTATATAAAAAAAAAATTGACTGGATATTAGTATTATGTTATTTATGCATTATTTTATTATGGTTAATTACTTTTGTTGGTCAATGCCATAATCTTTTTTGGGGGTTTGGTATCAGTTTGAAAAACCTGGACTGCCAAGGTATTTTTTTGTTCAGTGCCTTTGCTATCTTTTATGATTTCTGTTTAATTTTTTGATAATAAAATTATTACATTTGCATTTTTATACTATATTTATTGGTGGTGAAGCCATTTAATTTCATTTAAAAGCACTCATACAAAATGTGTGAGTGTATGTTTAGACGCAAACAAACACTAAAAGACAACTGGAAGAGCAAAATAACAGAAAGATGGTGCATTGTGGTTGTGTTGTAAAGCTTTGGTTATGTATTCAGCTGCTTTGGTTGTTGTTTGGTGGAGAAGATATCTCACTAACCAGCAGTGTTTTGTACCACAGAACCAAATCGATGTAAAACCAACTCAATAAACGGAATGAGCACTGTGCCACTGTTCGTCCGACTGTTACTGTACTTTTAAAAATGTTATTTTTATTATTATGATTTTTTCTTTTATTCTAAACTGTTTTAATTATTCTGATTTCTTTTGATTATTTTAATTTCTTCCATGTAAAGCACTTTGAACTGCCACTGTGTATGAAATGTGCTATATAAATAAACTTGCCTTGCCTTGCCTATAAATATTCCAGGAATAAACAGGCATTTAATTGTTATTCAAACACATAGTGATGACTCTTAAAACAATATCTCAGAACTAAGACAACTGATTCAATCTCCTGCATTTACCAGATGTTTTTCAGTCTGGTATAAGGTCCAATGTGGTGTAACAATGAAGCAACAGAGACAAATACTAGCACTTCCTGTTCTCTGGATGAAGTATAATCCAGTCATTGTGACAGATAAGGTGAGGCAGCAGCCGACCAAAAATGACTCACCCACTATAAGAAACGCCATCTCTGACTGTAGCATATTTTATTTGTCATCCACTGCAGCACACAACAATACAAGAAACGATATACACTAGTGTGCAAAAGGGTCAGTACGTTTTGTTTTACAAGAAATGAATACATTTATTCAGCAAGTCTTCATTAATGCTGTTCTTTTGAATGTTCTGATCAACCATTTGTATTACCATCACTCTTCTTTTCCAGTAGATGTTGTTATAATGAAAAGAGACACCAAACTTGGCTTGGCCACAAAGTTGGAAGCTCAAACATTCTCTAGATTTTCACTGTAAACTGTAACATAAAATCTGTCTTCAGTGGAATTAAGGGCCTAACCGAAGCTGTCAGAAGGGGACGTCAACATGCAGTTAGCCATGACGGTGAATATGCAATGGATAACATCAGATCTTAACAACTGACATTACAGTAGTGCATTTACTTAAGACACTCCCATCCAGTCTGCACTTTGCGCACACACACACACACACCTCCCTCTGTCTCCTGAACTGTAAAGGTTAACTAATTAACAAATCAATATGACATCCACAACATGATTCAGACTGTTGTCCCAGAGGCCTTGTGCATGAGTTGTGAGAAAGAGACGTGTGTATTTGCTAAATAAACAAATGAAGGTCTCACGAGAACCAGCGAGGAACACTGCGTTCACCGTCATGTTTCAACTGGTCACATCATGCAGTTTCACAGCAGTGTGAGCTTTGATATCTCACAGAAGCATGTGGCTTTGAGGAGTAGGCTACAATACATACAGTGTATATATAATTTACACTCTCCTCCCTCAGGTAGCCAGTCGCTATCTCTCTCTCTCGTGTCTCTGAGGGTTACTAGGGTATAAACTAAAGTACAGAGCTCTGTGAACTCATTAATGATTAAGCAGCCTGAGATGTAATCATTGGTTTTTAGAGGTGCAGGATACTGGCTCTTTATCTGCTTTGTGGTTTTTAAGACATACAGTCCAAATTAAATGTTTGTCTGTTCAATTGAATGATCTTGCATCAACACGAAGGGATTCATTTGCAATAGTGAGAGACTAGCTGTACATAGTGCTTACAAAAACAAAAAAATTGGTATGAAATATTTATTTATACCATATTAAGTTACCGGTAAACAGTATATTCAATACAATTTAAAATAATCATAAAAATAATACTTGAAAATGAATAGAATGCAATAATTTAACAATATTATCTTTACAAAAAAATAATAAATCTAACAATAACAATAAACAGTCATAGAAAATCTTTCAATTTGATATTTAATAATTATATTCTCTTTTATTTTCCCAGGATAAACTTGTATCCTGGGAACATAAATAAACAAAAAAAAAATGTCTATAAATGTAATTCCTAAAAAAAATAAAATTAAATAGTATTATACAAAAAATAGAATAAAAAAATTAGTTATATACAAATATTGGACGAATAATATTTTGATATTTTTGATTGAAAAAAAATATATATTTTAGGCAATACATGTCTCACAACACACACACAAAGTCACAGTTGATTTTTGAGTAATTCATGTTTTATTTTTTTCTGTTAATTATTATTGTTGACAAAAATGTATAAAACAGACTAGGAGATTAATACAGGTAATTTTGACCTCCTTTACATAGTCTTGGGGTCGTGATACACAAATTGAATTTCTTTCCATCCTATGACCAAAAAATATGAAAATTCACAAAATCTGAAATAAATTTTTTTTTAAACATAGCCTTCCGGGTTTATGCAATCTAGTATTAAAAGGTATTTTTTTTGTCCTTTGGTCATGTCTTATCTCATACCGGGGACCAACTTAACGTCCAGCTAAAACATTCTAAGACTGAACACTCAGACTTTTTCCAACAACCGGAGCAGATTTTAAAAACTGACTCTGAACACCGAACACCGGAACTGTTTCTGACTCTGCACATTTGGACATGATCAGTCATAAGTATCAAATTGCATTCGTTATGGTTCTTACACTCATTAAGTGTGTCCCTGGTTTAAGGGAACCAAGTGAGCCAAGAACACTAAAGTTGAATCTATTCCTTCTTACACACTTTCATCTCTTGCTTGTTGCTAAGCAGGGGTTTGATATGAACTCAGATTAATTGATCTTTCATTTTCCACTCACAGTGATAATCTGAGCTCATGCCTGCACAGGGAGGCTTGATGAAATGATGAGGAGAGATGAGCCCAGTGGTTTTTGTAAATTTGGTAGAAGCTGCTAAGTACTTTGATGAAAAGATCCGTCAGACTGATGTATACAGGGATTGATTATGGTCTCTTCAGCCTGCTTTTTTCTTAGTGGACTTCCCTCTCAGCTGCTTCTCAGCTCGTGCACTATGCAACGTATTGGGTCATGTTTATAGGTACCCTGAAAATCTATTTCAATAAAAAATATAATAAATGTGTCCACAGTGAAGTTGCACACTGCTTGACGCAAAACATCTGCAAACAATCAAAAATGTATCCTGTTGTTATATGGAGTAAGATTTTGAACCAATTAAATGTCACTGTGGGGGCGGGGCTACACACCTTAATGGCACAAAAAGTACAAATCAGGGTTTAATCATACTTAACTAAAACAAAAACCTTTAAAAAATTAATATATAAAAATATATATATATATATATATATAAACACGTTTTATTTTAAGCAGGTTTTCAAAGCAACATTTTCATTTGGTCGATGTACTGATTATGAATGCATAATTGATTAGTTTGGAAATAATAAATGTGTAACATGGTATGTTTTGAACTCAGAAGGTTTTTTAAGCAATTAACTTGTTCACAACACTCATAACTCACAATAACTCATCTTCGACAAAGCACAGAATTATACTGGAAGAGAGTTTCAATCACTTGAAGGTGAGAAATGGTTATAAAATAGTAAATAATATGTTACTTTCCACACGTTTGATGGAATTTGTGACTTAATGCAAATATAATCCTCCAACACTATTTGTAATCATCATCTGCGCTGAATATCTGCAGCAACGCTACTTCTCTAAGGCACTGACCTGGCAGGAAAAAGGTAGGACGAGTCTTGGAGAGTGAACCTGCTGCTCTCCTAATGTTGTTACACTCAACACAGGCCTCAAGTCTCTGAGTCCTCTGATCTCTTTGCGATTGTGTTATAAACGCAGGCGATAAAGGAAACCTTAGGTTGACTTATTGTGCCTTCTCTCCTGCATTTCCGCTTCACAGATGTGAGAGAAAGCGGTTTTATTGTTCAACAGCGAAGAGAGAAACAAAATTCAAGCTGGCAAGCAGCGAGTCATCTAAAGAGCTGCGACTGAGCTCTTGCTTACATCTGAATGATTAAGTGCATAGTTGTAAACAGTCCCTGAACCCACTCCCACTCATGTAACCACACATCTGCCTAAGCACCCATTTTTATTTACATGAAAATGAACTGTGCGGAAAAGTACTGTAGTGCCACAGTAGTACCATTTTGGTGATTTTAATGGAAATTAGACTTTTATATTACCATGATAATGAATGATTTATCAACTAATAGTTTTCTCATGACATGACAGACATATAAAAACACCCACCTGGAGGGCTAAAACAAGGCTTTCCTCCATTGCCTGACAGTCATTTTACTAATATAAAAGTAAGTAGTAAGACAGTGATGTTAAAAGACCAAATTCAATGCACGCATTATTGAAGATAAGCAGATAAACTCAGAATATAAATCCAACGCGCAGCTTCTTGTTAAGCATTTTTTAAAATAGAAAACACCATTAGTATCATACCATTGGAGAAGACCGTAGTTCTGGGGGTCACATCCAGGTCTAGCGGTGGTCTGAAGGGGTAACCCCATAGTGTGGACACCATACACAGCAACAGCAGGAACAGCAGCCATGCACTAGGGGTCATCATCTTCAGTCTGACCAGGAGGGGTCAGAACCACAAAACCACCGCCCACCCCCTTAGAAGGGAGCAGGAAGTCACTCACGCCGTCTCTGAAGACCAAAAATCCTGTTGTTTTACTTAAAATTAGAACAGCTGTCCTTCCCTCAAGCAGTTCACTCTGCAAAACAAGAAAAAACAAGATGGTTAAAATGTCTAGTCAGTGCTGATGTCATAGTTAAGCGGACAGGTGATCAGGTGAAGCGTGTGCACTGACGCTGTAGTTAAATCAGGTTTCTCAAATAACACAATGCAACTGTGGTTCCCTGCCCTTATCGCCTAAGGACAACTTACTATCAAGATTCTCATGTTTGCATGGAACAAAGGAACATGGGCATGTTAAAAGGAAGCCAGTGCACCCTGTGGCACTAAAAGGTTGCCTTAATAGAAATGAAGTCTTCTTTTCAAATTGAAAAAAGCCTGAGTGACGCATGCACAAAGCACATGGACACCCAGAGACACGTCAAGCGACCATCAAAGGCTTTATTGGATGCATCACCGCGTCCAATGACACCGACCTTTCAGGCCTTTAATCCTGAGCTCGGTCTGCGGTTGACTGTGTTGAATAATAAGCCAGTGATTAAAGTATGACAACTGAATAGTGTGAGTCCTAATCCAAAAGAGCCATGACTTTATCCAAATATCACAAGCTCAACCAGAGCTCATCTCTGACTTCACTCACCTTGCATCAAAAGCAGAGTGGCTTAGTATGGAAATGCTCTAGAGTTTTCATGTTCAGAGTTCATGCGAATACTGCAATAGTATTATTATTAATAATAGTAATAATAAGTAATAACAAAGACTATAGACTATATTTTGAATGGGGAAAAAGTGCAATGCTCAATATGGAGGGATAAGTCCCGCCTTCTAAATAAATTGTACAATCTTTGGCAGTGTTTTATGATTCAGCCATATTATTGACCCTTAAGAACAATTACAGTGCTTTATAAGCTAAATAAACTTATCACTGCGTCTAAACCAACAACTTGTTTTTTAGATCAAATACCGACTAAATTACTAAAAGAGTTGTTACCTAAAGCAGAAGAGCCTCTCTTCTCAATATTATTAATACGTTTTTATCTCTAGGTCATGTCCCAAGACCCTTCAACCTGGCAGTCATTAAGACTATATCAACTAAATCCAAATGAATTGTCAAATTACATATCCATTTTAAATGCTCAAGTATTTTCAAAATACTAGAAAAAGTTGTGTCTGCTCAAATTGTGATCCTTCTTCACTCTCAGAAAAAAAGGTACAAAAGCTGTCACTGGGGCTGTACCTTTTCAAAAGGTACACTTTTGTACCCAAAGGCTGCATTGGTACCTTAGTGGTACATATTAGCACCTAAAATGTACATTAATGCTCCTGGAATGGACATATTTGCACCTAAAATGTACCTATCAGCACCTAAAATGTACATATTAAGACTTAAAATTTACATATTAGCACCTAAAATTTACATATTAAGACTTAAAATGTACATATTAGAACCTAAAATGTACATATTAACACCAAAATTGTGTATATTAGCACCTAAAATGTACATATAGCACCTAAAATGGACAAAAGTTTACTTTTTGAAAAGGTACAGCCTTTTTTCTGAGAGTGTTGCAAAAAATATATTTATGAAAAAAATCACTCAGGATTCAGGCCCCATCATAGCACAGAAACTGTGTTCGTTAAAATCACAAATGACTTACTTCTAGTTGCATCTCAATACTAGTTTTACTTGATCAACACTATAGATGATGACATACTCTTAAATGGATTACAAAATTAGACTGGTATTCAGGGACTGTCATTAAGATGGTTTACTTAAGATCATATCTGACCATTACCATTTTGTTTTTGTTTTTAAACGAGGAATGATTAATGATGACAGTTAAAGTCAGTAAATTATGAAGTGCCATATGCACCCAGTAATAGGGGATCATCGAGATGACTGATGAATGTTGCTCAAATAGAATAAAACTACTGTCTGAAAGCCACTAATACCACTGGAGTTAATGGATCACTGGATCTAATGTACGATTTAATAAACATATCTATCAAAACTACTATTAACCTCTTTAGTTCTTTTCTCCATATTGGCACTGTTAACTATCCTCACTGCTGTTGGTTCATTAGGTTTTTACTGACCTGTAAGGGCATGGTTGTTGCTTAAAAAGGAATAGTCATTGTGTCACAGACACACGGACACACACTCAGTCTGATGTGATTTAGTTGGACAGTGGCCTGAGCATCCAACTGTTCTCCTCCCTTCGCCCACTACTCTAACACACTCAATCCCTCTCTTCTGTAAACACTCCAGACTTCTCCCCCTCTCTCAGATAAACACACTCTCTCTCCCTCATTCCATTAAACGAGCTTACGCACCAGATGAGCACTGTTTTCTTTTCCCTCTATCTCCACTTCAGATAGAACATTCCCAGAGGCTTTCTAGGCCTCCTTATTCTTGTTCATTCAAAACTATTTCACTCCTTTCCTCTCTGTTTAAATGAAACACACAAAACAAACTCTCTGAAACATAACTGCACAGATGTGCTTGAATTCACACCTGCTATAGCACAGGAATCAGCAGCACTGTGCCAGAGAAGTATATCGCATCAGCATCCCTCGCTCTGCACTCGACCAACAACAGAGCTGAAAAAAGCTGAAAAGATGAAAAAGATGCTTTGATTTCTTAGTTTTAATGTCATTAAAATAAGTCTCTTATGCTCACCAAAGCTGCATTTATTTGATCAAAAAATACATGAAATAATGTGAAATATTAATATAATTTAAAATAACAGTCCGCTTTTAATTATATTTCCAAATGTAATTTATTCCTGCTGGCAAAGCTGAATTTTCAGCATCATTACTCCAGTCATCAATGTCACATGATCATCCAAATATGCTGATTTGGTGCTGGAGAAACATTTAAATACATTTAAATATTGGAATATAATTTATAAATTCATTTAAAAAGTTAGAATTGGTACAGTTTAAGCCATATCCATAATTTGCTAAACAAATTATTGATTTAAATAAGAAAATTATTTTTCAATGCTTTGAAAGGTCTGTGGAAAATTTCTAGCCTGACTTCGTACTTCCGCTCTATTTCAGTTCACGTCTGAGACATCTACATGTCCATAGATATACATAATAAAGGCTAGATGTCTCGTCCGCGCTGCTGGCCAATGGAGGCTGACGTCCGGCACCTAGCAGCCATCTTGTCACATCGTGTTTTAATGGTGCATGTACTATTTAAATAACCATAACTTGCACAATTTTCTACCGTTTTTCAAACGGTTTGGTTTGTTATAAACGTCAGAGATGTAGTTACGACACTGCATACTAATGAATAATAAGTGTTCAAATAAATAATCATCCAGAATTATAGCCACGCTAATAACGTTTGTAAGAAACCAAACTGTTTGTAAATTCATCAAGATTTCAAAGAGATAAAGAGTATTTATAGTGTTAGTGCTGATCACTCATCTTACAACAGGTACCACGGAGCCCGCCAGAAAGCTTGCCTGTGACAAGATGGCCGACTGTGATGACGATAGAGACTCCGCCATAAGACATCTAGCCTTTATTATGGATATATATAGACATGTTTCTCAGTTTTCCTCCCGCCTGAAAACAACCAGCCAATCAACGAACAGAGGGCGGGCTGAGAGCCGTGAAGTAGCCGAGTTTAAGATTGTATTTTAGATTAGGGAAATCGAAAACGACCACGGATATTGAGACACGGGATGCAATTCGCTCTGTCGTGGAGAATATATTCCCGGCATTAGCAAACTGAAGCCCGAACAAGAAGAGTGTTGGTTAAACATTTCCAATGGAGGTGATGTTGTGACCCTACTCCCAACAGGTTTTGGGAAAAGTTAAATTTATCAACTATTACCGATCGTCAGTGAAAAACTGAGCAGGCCAAAGGCCAGGAAGGCGATAGTTGTGATTGTGACCCCCTTGGTTTCACTAATGGAGGATCAGGTTACGGAGGCAGCAAAACTCGGTCAGCCATGTTCACTCCGGTATTTCACTCGATGGTTTCGTTTTCGCATCATACATGTGTTTACAGTGGAAGTTCGATGCGGCTGAGCTGGCGAATAGCACATGTCCATACGTTATGTGACTGGCTTACAGGTAACCAATTAATGATTTTAAACTTGCGAGAAAGAAAACACTTTTCAATTATGCCATGCCAGACTTTGTCTACGAAGCAAAGCCAAGTAGCAGAGTTTGGTATTACCAGGCTAGAAAATGATTTATCTCAACAAACAAAGCATTAGCAGATATAATCAATGTGGTATTAACTATCACTGAATGCTTCAGGAATCAAATAACTTTTCTGCTGAACTGCTCAGAGAACGATGTTGATTGAAAGTTTGGGCCAAAACTAGAATCCAGTTCAAATGTAAGAGGTTTATGAATGAAATCCATTACAGGATTATAACGACAAAACCATCAGCAGTTTTATTATTCTGCCAATTCAGATGCCCTAGAGAGAATGAGAACTATAAAGAAAGAAATATAGAATAGGTCAGGCACACGAGGAGGCACGATCTTCCCAGTGGAAAATCTCTTAGCACTAACGCCATAAAAAAGCAAATGAAAGCAAATTAATTGGCGTCCACTGTAGCCCACAGCTCAGCACAGTGGTCTTATGCCGTGTGGTCACATCAGATAGAAAGAGATCAGTCGAACACACACTGCTATTTATTATTCTACACAGCAGGAGAGAAGGGCCAAAGCCAATACAGAAACAATATAAGATCAGCTGCAAGTTAATTTAAAAATAAAGTGTTGAGTTGTACAACAGGGTACATGGCATCAAGCTGTAGGGTGGACCGAGTCATGTGAAAAGAATTGAGCAGCTGCAAAGAGAAAACGATAGCTCTGTTTCTGCAAGCAGCAAAGCTCAACAGTGACTGCAAGAGACCCTTCATGCATCTTTAAACAGCTGTCAATCACCTTGAGCACATTTACATCCGAGTCCTAAAAAGAGAGCAGCACCGACAAGCCCTTTAACTTCATATCATGATTTTTGATTTCATTAATGTAATCGAATGACAACGACATGCTGTATATTCCATGCCTAAATGACCTGCAGGGTCTTTGTGACTGAGTGAATGTATAACCAAAATTTTGACATTTAAACACTGCATTTCTTAATTTACATAGCAGTCTAAAACAGCAGACCGATTGAGTGTCTAATAATCTTCCACAGAAATTCAACAGCATATCCGTCATCTAGTTCATCATAACTGAAACATGATCCATCAATATTCTAGCACAAGCCAATGAACGAAGAAAGTAAATAAATAAATAAACTTTTCATAGAGGATGGCAGACCAATGAAGCTAGCCTAAGATATTAGTATAACTAAATCAATGTTTGGCTTATGAATGAGAATTGCATAATTATGAAAGCCGTCTTTTACAAAAACGTTATTCTTGCATGCATGAGACCATGAGGATAAGCGATGATAGTGCCCAATTGTACACTGGGTCATTGACCGGATGCTAAATCACATGAGGGACTGTCTCTTTTTCAGCTGAGAATAAAAAAGACATTCTGTTGAACTATAAATAGCAGTTAATAGAGAAGAAAAATCATATGGCAGTATGCAACAAATCCGTCTCTAAAGACGTCTTTGCACAGCTGATCTGAGCAGCTCTGTATCTGCCTCAAATTCAGCTTAAAGAAACAATACCACATAAATGCATAGTAAAAATGCCGCTTTGAGCCACATCAGCCCCTATAATATCACTGACGGCTCTGATGCTGCTTTGCATCTGTGTAAAATGATGCAGCTTCAAACTTTGTTGATGCCATGATGAGAGAGCATGTATTTTGTTATTTAAAATCGTAATATGTAAGACAGCATGAGATCAGCAATGCTTCAGCATAAGTTTCAGCATTAAACGCTAAAGACTTTCTGAATTATCGGTCAATTATGTGTTTTTATATTTATGAAGCAATAATTAGATATTTAAAGATATTTAAAATACTATACTGGTGTGTCACTAAAAGACTTCCTTCTCCCAGATGTCATTTAAATTGGACAGTTAAATGTGTTTGTGCAAGGAAAACTGCCCAGAAAATGCTCACTGTCAGGCGAGTAATTCTTCGTGCATTAATCTGAATAAACGCAGACATGTCCACATCTTTTCTGGAACGCTTTCACATCACGTACCAGAAGCCTATCTCTCAGTCATTTGCCCTTTAACAGAGTTTAATGGTTAACTTTTAATGAACTGGTCTTTGTCAGAAATATTTTACATTGTATGGCAAGCTATTCTTACATGTATTCCCAAAAATAAACTATACTTGCAACCATTGCTAGCTCTTAATACTTTACCACTAGTCACATTACCAATACTTACAAGTGAGTATTACATTTTAACAAATCCGGTGGCGATATGGTTCAGATATTGACTATTCTAATTGCTCTTGGCACATATTTAAAACAATTTTTGTTTTAAAATTGCTTATTTCTTATAGTGGTGAAATATATACATATCCCATTAGTTTCTAGTGTATTAGAACGTGTATTATTTATTATTAGTGTATTATTTATGAGAAATTAGTATATATCCTGAGTCTGACTGTTGCGAGTAACATTTTTATCTCAGCCAGTAATTGTTTTACTTAGTATTAATGTATTTCAGAGTGCGCTAAAAACTAATTTGTTTTCATTAGCATTTGAAAATGTTTAAGAATTTGGTGTTTGTTGTTGTTTTGTATATGTTTTATTGGTTCTAAGTTTATTATTCTTTTATTTATTCTTTCTGTACAGCATTTTGGTTTCCACAGGGTGGTGTGTAAAGTGCTTCATAAATAAAGTTTGAGTTGAGTTATATGAAATGACTAGTCAGACTGGTATTTCTATCAAAAAACCTAACTAGCAAGAATAAATTATTAATAACCATTTGAATACCCAATTTTGTCTAATAAATAATTATTAGTGTCTGTCCAAGTATTAGAAGACTATAATACTTATATACGAGTAGCCTAGTTACAAAAAAAATAGAAAAATAGTTACTTGTCACTGCTGGGATTAGTGACTGGTATTAAAAAATAAGCATTAGTTTGACTAATTTAAAACTGGTAAAAAAAAAGAAAAGGGTGCAATCCAATTTCTTACTAGTAAAACAATTCTCTTTAAGGAATAAATGTTAAAGCGGCTTGCCATATACCTTGGTATTTCGTCTGTGTGAAATTATAATTTTCAGCTTTTTCGTGTCGTCTATATGTTGTTGTCTTCACTCAACAACATGTCAGAGACTTCATACTGATCTGTCGGAAAGAACTTCACTTTCGTGCGAAGCTCACCATTGAGATACAGACGTGCAGTATCGACAACAAATATCGATAACAAAAAGAAAAAGTGTATAGTATCAAAGTGGTCTACTTACTGAAATGTCTTTCGTCACAAACCGTCCAAAAATACAGGAAAGTCGGCTAGTAGTTACTGTAAAGCCGAGTATCGTGAGATGAGAAAGAGCAGAGGCGCAGATTGAACTCAGCTGTGAGTCTGTGCTGAGCGTGCCCGCGCGCGAGCCTCGTCACTCGTCACAGGTAGATACTGTACGCCCTCCTGCGACACCATCTCACAATACGCTCGAACAACAAACATATCGGGGGGGAACATTTGGGCAACCGCATTCCTTCGCTATCTATTGGACAAAGCACGCTTACACAATTATTATAATAAACCAAGAGCACTGTTAAAACACGCTCACTGTGTTGAAGATGTTGTTGCCAAACAGATCAGAGAACATGATAGACTGATGCTCACCACAAAAAACACACAATTGTGAACATCCATGAAAGAAGCTTGCCATCTTTTTTAAAATCACACGTGTTGCTCCGTGAACACCACCATTTGGAAGAGATGAATAATGCAAGACTATGATGTAAACACTTGTAAGACCAGGCTGGTCATGAGTGTGAGTGGAAACAGACAGACCATATTTGTTTTATCAGAAGCATTTATTTTCATAAAAAATAACCAAAGGATTTTATATCTTTTTAAGAAATACAGCCTTTTTAAATAATTAATCCTTATGATAAACATCACTGTGAATTTTTTAATTTTTGAGGAAGACTGGATTGCCAACAACAACAAATAATAAAAATACACTATATCCACTATACCTAATGGGATGCTTAAACATCCGGAAACCTACAGAAAACGTTGACAATGATATAAGCCCTTGCTTTTGCTGTGATATTGTCTGGATAAAGATACCCTGGGTTTTTGGCAAACTAAAAATGTAATGGAATAGATTACACAGCAGCATAAAGAGCGGATCCTAATAACTACCAGTGTGCACATTAACCAATGTTACGTTTCAACAAATGAAATATATGTACATAAAAAATGTTTAAGGTCTCGTTTTCAGAGACACCAGGGCCAAACATTTAATAATAGACCTTATTTCTTAAAAGAGATGAACCTTGTAAAAACACTATACTCAGAATATATTATAAACAAGATGTAAACAGCTACAAGCATCACGTGTCACTGAAAGACTATAACTATTCGTTAATGGCGAATTCCTTAAATTATGTGCATATGAATTGAGGGCAACAAAGGTGTGGTGTAAAATTCTAACATGACCTGAGAATGTTTCAACTATTCTTTCTCAAGACTCCTCCGAATCCAAAAACATCCCCTCTGAAATCCCTTCCTCCATTCCCTCTTTCATCTCTAACAGCTCCTTATCTTTCTCCAACAAGTCCTCAAGCTCCTCTAGTGCCTCAGTGTATTCTTCTACAGGTATGTGCTTTCGGTCTTCTTCATGAGGCTCTTCATCTTTAAGAAGCTCCTCCTCTCGGTTCACGAGATCCTCGTCGTCGTCATTCTCAAAATCTTTGTGACTTTCAAACAGTTTTTCATCGGATATTTCTTCCAACTTTGCATCACCTAGCTCGATCAGCTGTTGCTTTGGCTCTTCACTTTTCTCCTCTACATCGCTGATATCCTCCACACAATTTTCATTGCCTCGTTCTATGTTCTCCTCACACTCATCTTCCTTTTCGCTCTCAGCATCTTCGTCTGACTCCACGGTCAGAGTTTCATCTGTACTCGCTGAAGTGTCTTGTGCTTTGATGCAGGACTGGCCCTGAGGACTGCTGGGCACCTCATCCTCTGGTGGGGGCTTCCAATAATCATACAGCTTTCCCTGTGAATTACACAAGAGACAATTCACACAAAAATGAAAATGCAGTCATTATTTACTCACCCTCAACTGTCGTGCCAAACCTGTTTGACTTTCTTTCTTCCATGCAACACAAAAGGAAAACATCGGTAGAACAATCAGGCTTCCTTTTTTATCATTCAATTAACAGTTTGATAAAAGTAGTGCACATGAAAACTATATTCTTAGTGGCCATTCATACAGAAATATGATATGGTATGGTATGGTAGTTTGGTTTGGTAACCTGTCAGTTAAATTAAAATCATCACTCCAAACATTGATTAAAAGGGCAGGGAAAATAATCGGGCAAGTGCAATCGACTACTCTTAATGAGCTTTTTGTGGAGGCGGTAAAGAAACATAGTTTTAAAATAATCAACGATCCGAATCATGTCCTATGCAGTGAGTATGAGATGATGCCCTCAGGCAGAAGGTACAGGTTACCAAACTGCAGATTAAATAGGTTTAAATTTTCTTTTGTACCGCTCTCTATTAAAATACTGAACGATCAACTAGGGTGTGTGGGTTAGAATTTAAGTGTGACATTAATTAGGTTAATCATGTCGGGTGTGACATTAATTTTTAACATTAATATAATCTGTAATTCATGTTTGTGTGTTATGTGTTATGTATAATGTATACTGTGTTGCATCTGTTTCCTGAAGGCCAAAGATGAATTTCTCCATTAGGAGACAATAAAGGCTAATCCAATCCAATACAGAAAGCCTTTTTTGGTTTAAAAAAAATCAAACTTTTTCACTAGATGACAACGAGACTCCATCACTGCCCATATAAGGGCGCCTCCATTTCCATAAGTGTTTTGACTGATATGAACCATTCAGACCTTTTTTCTAAAATAATTGAATGGATGTTACTGTATCTTTTGAACTCTTTGCATGAAAACAAACTGAGGTCTCTACCCTTCTTTCATGATTTTTCATGTTTATCACAATTTCAAAATAAAGGTCTAAACACACCTTAGGAGTATGAAAATATTCTTGTTGCAAATTGATAAATTACGACTCCTCTGTAATTTATTTTGAAAGTCACAAAATATGGAAACTGTATAGAGATTGCAAGCTTTCAAATGATATATAGTTTAGGTTTAGTATAGGATATACTGTTTTTAAAATGTATTGGATTTGGGCCCACCGGTGGGCCCGTGACACTTGAATGCTACAGTTTTAGGATGCAGTGTCATGAACAGGATGCATATCTGTCTAAACATATCTGTCTAGCACATGTTTATATAGAAAAACAAACAAAAAGCAAAGCAGTGGAATTCAAAAACACATTCTGCGTGTACAGCAGCTTTTCATCTGATGTCAAAGTCTTTCAAAGTCATACAATAGCTTTGTATGATTTTTACAGAATATCTTGACATTCGCTCCAGCATCAACCAGATTTAATTTATAAATAGCTTATAATGGATTTGCGATCAACTGATTTATTGAACACACAGATTTTCAGCTAATTCTGTTCCTCCCACAAAGCCATTATATTCTAGGAAATTTTACATTTTTTAAGGATTTTATGATCATTCGATGGTCCTTTTGCTCGTTTTTTTTTTTTTTTCAAGCTTGAAGAGCAACCAGGACATTCTTTAAAAAAAAATCCTTTTGTGTTATAGAAAAAATATATAGTAATTAGGTTTAGAAAAAACATATGGGTGAGTCAATAACAAGGCTTCTATTTTAAGTGAACTATTCTTGGTAATGCATGCATGACCATTAAAATAACATCACTGACACAGCAAATTCTTTAATTTTCAAACAATGTCACTAATTCTTCCAGACTGACATTTTTAGCTGAAATCTGCTGCTGCTTGAACTATGAAAACACATGTGGGCAAAATGTTGCCTTCACAGCCAGCTAAAAGTAATAGCAGCTTTCATCTGCATCAGTTGCCTGTATCCTTACACATTACCTCTTGAGGCCTTGTTCGTCTGAGAAGCACCTGCCACTTTGTGTATATTCTTGCCACAAAGTCTTTCACCTACAGAAGACAAAAAGAAAAAAAAAACACTGGCAATAAAAATTTGAATCCCTTTGATATCAGACGAATAAGGGATTCTCAGAGAACAGAATAAAGCTGCACTTCACCTTGCTTCTGTACAGCATTTTCTCGCTCTCCCTTATGTCACACTTAATGTGCTTCTCCAGCTGAGAAGAAAGACTCCGCAGATCATTCTGGCAGTGAAAGAGGGCTAAAGTTAGTCCAGTTCAGAAAACAGACACAGTCAGATGTGCTTTACTTCATTTAAACAATATTGAGATGATAAATTAGACCCCTGATGTATTAAACTTTTGCACTTGGATTCATTCTTAAGAAAAAACACCATTAGGAATTGGTTTGAGTCAAAACTCTATATGTGGTGAAAATATTGCTGGCTATTACAAGACTCCTAAATGTTCAACTCTTGACATTCTATAGTCAAATATATTTGTATAATGACATTTGCATAATAACACTGACAACCACTTTCCTACACTTTCAGTTCCATGTCTCCCTTAGCACTCAATCCCATCTTACAAAATCAAACTTTTCAAATGAAATCAATATACTATATTATTTAGAAAGCAGTTGTGTAATAAGATAACGGACAGTCAGCCCCTTAAGGATGATACAAGATCAAACAAGTTCTGCTCACCCTGTCGGGTTTATTTCACCATAATGACCATCTAATTATACACTGTCTCTCATTTCATAATGTTAGTGCATTTATAAATGAAAATTATAATACATCATTATTCCTTGTCTTCATGTAGTGACCTTGATATTATTTAACAATTTTGACTGTACTACTGTTTTTAAACATTAAAAGAACATGATTAATCATCCTGTTCTGTAACACAAGTACACTGTAGCGTGAAAAAAATCCTGTTTATCTCTAATTAGCAACAATTACTTTTGAAATATTGGTTCATCCGTTTTATTTTTCATCTAGTAAAGCCACTTCAGATAAAACATGCAAATTGACATATACTGTATTGAATATTGTCAACAGTCTGAAAATTAATAATTGAGACCGATCTTGTTCAAGATGTAATGAGAAATGCTTTAAAAAAAAGAGACCTGGAAAGAAAGGCAGTAAATACACTCATGCAAACTGAACCTCACCCCTCCAAACATCCATTCTAGTCAGTAAAATCATCCCTTACTTCAATTCAATTTCACACAACTCCTTTTCTCTTTAGAGAGTAAAATAAGTTATATTCTTAATTGGTTCCCGAGGGTGAGAGTGGTACCAGAAGACAGAGTAGGGCTGTGTTCACAGACAGGGTCTTTCTGTGACTGATTCATTAACACTGCTCCTTTATGAGTGCACTGTAAAATAAGGTTAGGGGGGAATCTA